TGACACACATGTCACAATCATCATGTTATCAATTATCATCAAAAGAAGAAGAGAAGATGCCAACCACAGCTTTTTTCTTTTGACACAGATGCATCAGTCGCGATGATATTGCTTATCTCCAGGTGAGCTAGATAATCCGCTGACTGGTCTTTTAAGTACTTATGTGCCAATTGTTTCGCGTTATGAGGAAATATATCAAGTTGTATGCTAAGCCTTGACTTTAGGTTGCCTGTTGGACCATTGTTTAATTTCTACATTCAGTTGCTGTAACAAAGCTTGTGCACCGTTCTCCTTGTGTGATCATGGCTCTTACCCAATGCAGGGGATTGGCCGAGTGTTAGTTGAGTTTTTTTCCTTTTGTTGTTTTTTTAAGTGTTTCTTCACAATACCTCTTGTTTATTCCGAACTCAGTTCCTAATGATGATATCACCACTCCTCATCGTCTACATAATTTTAAACATCCTCCGCGCCCCCACAGTGGCGAATGACGACGGAGAACACTAAAATCGCACGTGGGTTCCGAGTACACAATGTTCATCAATACGAGTTCCATGTCAGTCCTTGTGGAATCATCCGGATTTTTTCCTGCACTTGGCCTTCTAGCGATGTTTACGCCGCCTGTTCCACGCTTTTGCCAGTGAACGCGTCACCTTCGGTAAACTGCTTTCTACGATCGGTTTCCTTTGGTAGGAAGATCCATTATGCAGACTCTTCCGCAACTTGCTGGTGAAGCTGTTCCTCAGAACTTCTCTTGATTTCTTTCTCTTGGCTGCCTTTGCCTTGGTAGCATCAGCCCTTTCACTCTGCGTTGGTCTGGACTGTCTTATTCGGGGGGTTGGGGTTGTCTTGAAATTTCGCATCTTTGCATGTATATGCCGTGCCAACCACAGTCTCTCTAACCTTGACTTCTGTGGCTTACACGAAGTGCGGTAGTTCTCATAAGTACTGGCAGTAGGCTTCCACTTCCTTGTCGACTTCTTTAAATTTTTCTTCCCTTGGTGGAATGGCCTTGGTTTTCCTTCGTCAGGTGTTTGGTTGCACAGACGTGAGGACTGCAATACAACTGAATTTGCCGACTTCAGCGTGCAATCATCCTTAAGCTCTGCTGTATCGTCTTTTGGATCTCCAGCTGCCTTTCGCTTTTCCTTCGTACAAGTCTCTTCCACCATGTGCACTTGAGTTGTTTCAACCGTCATGTCGTTGGCTCCATTGATAGTGTACGCTGACGGGAGTTCTAAAGGCGTGGGCCAGTTCTTTGGAAGTACCGGTTCTGTGCGTGCTTGGACGCTCATTACGGTGGTGAAATCAGCGACCTTTCGACTTCAAGCACCTTCAGCAATTCGTCGTGAGTCGGAGTCGTCTACCTTCCGTAGAACAAGATTGCTTCTGAACAAGCAGAGGCTAGATGGTGGCGCTGTAGTAAACGTTTGCCGGATTTGTAGGTGGGTCCTACAAATCCGGTCGCGGTTTTCGACACCACTAAAGGTCAGTACCAATTTGTAAAATATGTGGCCAACTGAACAGCCGACACAGACTTAAGGGGCCCTGCAACACTTTTTGAGCATGGTCAGAAAACGCTGCCGATCGGTAGTTGAGGCCCCCGACAACACGTGAGCCAAATATTATAGCGCAGCACGCGGCATGGAATTCACAATAAATGATGAAACTCAGCTAAAAATATCATTTTATTTTCTCGACAAATCACGGAAAATAAGCTCAGTAAGCCCACCTATCAGCCATTGGCTGATTTGAACATGGCACGCTCGGTTGTTACATAGGTCCCCGCGAGAGGCCGTCACTTGTCCACGCTTGCGCGCGCGATCGCACTGAAAAAGCCGCGTATTTGAAGAAAAAAAGCTCAAGGTCACGAGGCACGAGTGACGTTTTTTGTTTGCCCCTCCCACCCCTCCCTGCTCAGCTTCCAGCACTTGTGTCGGGACGAGAGAAGAGAGATGGTGATTGCAGCGTGTGAGAAATCTTTGTAACTCCGCTCGTACTGGACAAATTCTTAAAAAATTTGCGGCGTTCTATTTGTGAGGTAATACGCTTTACCACTGAATTGATTCCATGGGTATTCAAAAAAGTGTTTCAGGGCCGCTTTAAGAACTCACACCGACGTTTATTAGCGTCCGCATGAGCCCAGAACGTAAAAAGAATCATCTCTCGTCGTCTTCTTCGATCGAGCTCGCTCGCCTGAAATTTTTCTTCTTCTTATGCGATGAGCGCGGGAAATTCAACAGACACCGCAGACGAAGAGTCCACGTTAGCTTGTACTTCTGTCCTAATCCTTTGCCTCTATGATGACCCAAAGCGAGCTCGCCGAGCATTTCATACATCCGCTATCTTATATTCCACCCTTACCTTGACTAGAATGATCTGGTGTTCATAAAGGTTCATTCAGGCATTTCCATCTGGGAACGCAGTGATCCTGAATTACTTTTCGATGAAGTCGCAACACTCCATACACTCCATTGTGACTGCTGCACAGGGCTTACAAAAAATCAGTCGTGGGGTGGTGGGGCGTGCTAGGGAGCCTACATGAACGGCCGTTTGTTCATGTAGGTTCCCTAGGGCGTGCGCAAATATAGCGCCATCCTTTGGTTCGTGCCATATCGCAGGAGAAGTGGGGCCACTGGGGCGTCGATGAAGCGAAGAGGACTCATGGCGACAGCAAGTCGAGATACGTGGCGGAAGAGCCCGGGAGCGCGAGGCCCTTGGAAAAGAGGCAGAAGAGGACTGCAAGGGTCAGTCAAGGCACACAGACACGTACGCAAACATTTTCTTTCTCTTATCTGAATTCCCATCTTTGTCATCTTTATGCGAGTCTACAGAACTGGAAACTCACACAAAGAGAGAATAAAAAAGCGTGTCATTACGGATTACTAGCACGTCGCGTCGGCAGAGCTGCTGTGGACGCCCAACTAAATCTGTCTGTTAACGACTACATATAATTATTAACCACGTACGACATGTGCGCTGGCTGCTACGCACGCACATGCCTGTGCAATATGCAGTGCGTATACACATTAGTGTAGTTTAATATTAGTTTATTGGGTTGGCATCTGAATTTTGTCACAATAAACACTATGCGGCGTAGATATTGCAAAGTAAATGTTTTGGCAAGAAGCAACCTTAACACACACACACACGCACACACACACGCACGCACGTACGCACGCACGCACGCACACACACACACACACACAGACAGAGAGAGAGAGAGAGCACAGCGAGCATTAGTGACCCCTCTCTCGTGCCCCGCCGCGGTGGTATAGTGGCGAAGTGACCCGCAGTGACCCGCAGGTCGCGGGATCGAATCCCGGCTGCGACGGCTGCATTTCCGATGGAGGCGAAAACGTTGTAGGCCCGTGTGCTCAGATATGGGTGCACGTTAACCCCAGAGGTTCAAAATTTCCGGAGCCCTCCACTACGCCGTCTCTCACAATCATATGGTGGTTTTGGGACGTTAAACCCCACATATCACTGAAACGCACACGCAGTGAACTGAGTGAACTGATCCCGTTTCAACTATCAAGTTGTACCGACACCATTTCTTTTTTTTTTTTAAATTCCGAGAACGTGTCAGTTAGCGAATGCAGCAAGATCAATACCAATCTTATTACAGCTGTTGACTAACGATTACGAGTAGTAATATTCAGCGGTTGCAGTTCAAATATCGCGCGCGTTGCAGCTCGCGCAATGCAGGAAAATATTTGTATTTGCGTTTTCTTTCACTGAGAAGAGGAGACAATATGAACGGAAACGGGCACCGAAAAGCGCGTCCACGAGGAGCGTGTACGGTGCTACACGTCCAGCTGTCCTAAGTAGAACCAGATCGTCATTTAACCATAACTATGAGCTTTCCAATCATCCCCGCCGTGACCTAGTGAGTACGCACGGTAGACGACGTCCAGTTCACGATTTTCTGTCGTTATAACTCCTTGTCATCCCATAAGCGCATTTGCTAACGCTGCAGTATAGATCAACACCGGTTCTCGCTTTATAGGATGGCTTACTAGATATACAAAACGCATTCTTACCCGCAGACGCCGGCAGCTGACAAGTGCCGCTATTCTCGCTTGAAGCCATTCATTCGCCTGTCTCAGCAGCAATGCGTTGAAATGAACCGGTAGTGTTGAAAGAGTATTATACACTATAGCTGTATCTTAAAACGCTTGCCTAAATGAACTGAACTGAGACCGCACAGCATGCATTGTTACAAACACATGTTTTCTAACAGAAACTACAGTGTTCTAGAAAACAGTCCTGACTGTACCGAAACAAAGCCTCCTTTATTTACATGCCTGCCGCATGAAAAGGAGAACAGCTGCCACACCCTTTCTCTCCTTCATTTTAGAATATTTTCGGTCGCTAGCGTCACTTGTGGCGGACGGTGCAACAACGCAACACTTTGCATAGCCTCCGAAACAATGATGTACAGTTGCAGGTCTCGAACAACTCTCGACTAACGCGCCCTTATGGGCAAAAACGCTTAGCTGGTAGTACCAGCGTTGGCTGGTACCGCCTGCCGTCGTGATGATAGTGTTAAGAGTTACTGTATATGCTACCTTTAAGGTAGCATATACAGTAACTCTAGATAGTGTCGGTAGCCAGCGCACGGCGCTTGTTTAAAACTGAAGGCAGGCCACCTCCGCTGGGAGCGTCAGCCATTCCTCAGGCATCTTTCTAGAGGAGGCGTTGACCGAAACCATAGAGGATGACGAAACCACTTAAACAGCTGTAGCCAACAGCAATCAATAAAAAAAAAAACATGTTAAAAAAGAGACAACCGACACAAATTTTGTTCGCTACATGAAGTGAGTGAGCTTGCTCGTTACAAATATGTTTTGTTTGATGTTAGAAAAATTCAGTTTTTATTTAAAGCCAGCGCACTTTGTATTCAAACTTTGTAGTACACAGTAACACAGCTCTATTAGGGTGCATACAAAGTTTTCTTTGGCTGTGCTGGCAACCGAAGACAAGCCAGTGCAAGCCAGGACATGGCTGATGGCGCGAAGTGCTTTTTTTTTTGTTACCGTGGTGTCGTGAAATGAAAGCTCATCACGTTCATAGCTTCCTCGTTAAAGGACGCCGAGCTGCAGCGCTATTTTGATGCAGCCGCACGGCCAGCAACAATACTAACAATGGTTTGTACTCCCGATTCACGCGTATTTTACCGAATTTGAGTAAGCGTGGTCAAGTAAGCGTGACAGCTAATGCGCGCTTCGGGATTCAGCGCGCGCGACCAAGTCGCGCCAACTTGAAGCGACTCGCAATATTCGTGGCCCTTGAAGCAGAGCGTCGGCATGCAGACTGTGTGTGCCTGCTCGTTTACGATTGCCCAAAGTGTCTCGTTTGTGAGACATTCCATCTTTTCTGGTGGTGATCCCCAACTCTTCGGTCATATATATTTAAGCGCGAAATCGTAAGTGTTGCGTTTGCTAACTAAAACTCATCCACAGGATATCCGCAAGTTTTTCTCGGCTACTGGTTCAGCCCCCGTGAAGAGAGCTGCTGATGACACGAAAAAACAGTCCGACGAGAAAAACAAGCCAAAGCAGTCGACGAAAGCGGTAAAAGAGCCCGCGAAACCGAAGGCCCCGGAGAAAGAGAAAAAAGCTGCACCCGTGGAAGTTTCGAAGAGAGAAAGAAATGAGCGGGTCAAGCCAGCGTCATCGAAGGTATGAATGCGAACACTCTATTTGATGTACACTTTAAGTTCTGACGTGATTTTCGATTGGACAAAAATGGCAGGTTGAGAATAAACGTTGCGTGTTCGAACTGTGTGTTGATGGCTGCCTGGGATCGTCACAGTGTTAAGCAATTTATATGGAATTATGTAATTGATAGATTTTCTTTTGCCAACGTCTTACAATTTGTCTTGCTTGTGCTCACCTATGCAGACTTCACGCTTAAGCTCGTTTCTGTTACCCCGCTTAGGAAAAAAAGGAATCTGGGAAAAAGCCACGGCAGAGGATTGTCATGTTTGATTCCGGTATGTTGGCACTGAACGAAGTTACACGTATTTGCACTACACTACTGCATCTTACAACGCAGTAAAACTAATAGTTACAAGAGCTCTCAAGTGATGGAGACATCATGAAAAATAAAATTTCTTTACAGATTCAGATGAGGAAGAACCGATACCCAAGAAGGCCAAGAAGCAGGCCAAGGAATGCAAAGCTGCAGCTGTCGACTCTGACGAAGGTTGGTGCCTCATTAGCTGTGGTGCACCTTTTAAGTTCTTGCTGACGTTGAAGGGAAAAGAGAGCTACAAATGTACTGAACATTTGGAAGTGGCTGCATCAGCGAGCAAAACACGTGCTAGTTATATATCTACTATTATAGGCTCGCACTGCCAATTTGTGCCAAAGCCCCCTTGATAGCGTGTCACAGGACACCCTGAATTTCACTTTTCACATCATAAATCATGTCTTCTACTGTCTTTCAAGGATACGATTGTATGTAGTTTTGAAGACAAACAAGCAATCAAGGCCGTTGTATTGTGAAGTTCCCCCACAAGGCCAAAATGAGCTCTCAGTTTAATAAATTCTTACTATTTTCCTGTTCTCTTCTTTATGTGTTACGCTTACTTTCCTTGATTTGCTCTGTTCAAATGTGAGAAATTTTATCAAATTGCTTAATGACTGAACAAAAAAAAAAAGCTGTTTGATATTCCTGCTTGTACTTTGCAACACGCAGAAGTGATAATGGGGGTCATGTCAAGCAGCGTAATATATAAAGGTTACTGTAATAATGTTGATAAGAATGTTAACATCACTGGTGAGAGCATTTAAGTATGTCCTTGATATAATTACTGTTATGCTCTATTTAATTTGGTAAGCATTATGGTGCATGGAATGAGGACACCCGAAGGTGTAGGGAGCCTCAGCCAATGCTCTCCGTTTTCAAGAGTATGCTTGTGGTTGTCGTCTCATAGCGGCTGAACATACCTGTGGGTGCAATACATGACCACACGTTACACTTTTAAGGTGATTTTACTTTGCATTGCACAAAACTAGGAAAAAATTACCATTACTGAAGTTCCTTTCATGAGTTGCAAGTCTGTTTGCACTCTTCATATTTTCTTTTTAAGCTTCAGTACACCATTTCTCTCTTAATACATTGTACTTGTCATTTGCTTTTTGTTTTTGGCATGTCTATACTTGTTGCTGTATGGTTAAAGTAAACAGCAACTTGTGGGTATAATAAGTGATAACATGGCTACCAGTTTTGTATCAAACATGTATACTAAGCATGATATTGAATTTTATTGTATAGTTCAGCCTTACCAGTTGACAGGAACCAGGCAGGCTGAGAATTTTTGTTTTGCTTATACAATTTTGACTGCTGACCAAGGTAGGCTGGCATGCATGTTGAATGGTATTATTGTTACGTAATGTGTGGCTCTGCTAATATAGTTCTCAGATGAATTCTCCGTGTGATGAAATGCACTCTGGACCATAGAGTCATTAAGTTTGACTTTTTACTTTTCCTGTTAAGACTCTGAAGAACCAATTGTTTCGAAGAAACCTGCTGAGCGAACACAAGCTGCAATTTCAAAGGACGAACCTTTGAAGAAGGCCACAATCAAAGTCAATGGCAAGGAGCAACCTAAACAGAAACTTGTACCCGTTTCTGCGGATGACTTCTTCGCGAGTGCTTCCATAAGTCCAGCCTCGAAGCTATCACTCAAGGCGTCTCAAGCTAAGAAGGTGCATGTTCTTTCTTAAAAATTTGATCGTATTCTATATACTTGGGGAGCATAATATTGATGACATTCTGTGAAATGCTCATCATCTGTATATTATATCGCTGATGAAGCTTTTCACATGTTTCATTATGGGAGCAAACAGCTTTAATGAAGTTTTTTGTGGTAGCAACATCAGTCAGCGGGGAAAAATATACATTCTTTGGTTCAAATTAATGTATAGAATACATGTCTATCTTTCTATTATTGACACTATATTCAAGTTTACCTCATGCTCACAAAAATGCGAAGTGCCTGTTGGCATTCCAGATTTGTGTCTTGTGACAAGTGCGAATAATACTAACAAAACGGGGGAAAGAAATTACGGCTCTCTCGCAGGGTTGCGATACAAAAAGTGTTTCGAAACGGTTACATGGAACATATAAACTGGGGAGAAAGCAGACAGCTTGCCCGTCTTTTTCTCGATGCATGTGAACGTGTAAATTATGTGCTACTGTGTGAACATTGCTTGTTCATTGAAAGATTGTTGCACCGAGCTAGCTGTGTGCAGCGCATCTCTTACCTAACTCACGCCCTCACTGCTGGGGCGTTTGTAATACTGTGTGCATGTGTTTGTCTTGAGTTTTCATCGCCCCCGCTCGGTTCCTGACCACACACAGCCGCGACATTGACGAGATGCTTTCCTTCTTGAAAGCAATGCATGTGTGTAGCACATGCAGTAATCTTGCAGAAAGGGCATCAGCAAACAGAGGTGCAGTGCATTTGTATTGTCTCCATTTGAAAGCATGCGAACACTCGCAAGTGCGCTGTGACACATGGGTGACAGGTCAGTTAGCGTGAAATACCGATCACGTGCCCCCTTCCCCTTTCAGGGAAATTCAAAATATGCTCCAACGACTGAGCAGGTCCCCTCCCTCCTCCCCTGCCCTCCTGCCGTTCCTTTTCAACGTGTCCTCTGCTATAGAATCCTGTAGCAGTGGTTCCTGGAAAGCCAAGTTCTGAGAATGTTTATGTTTTGGGATGGCTTTCTATGAATGTTGCAGTGTGTTGCCTTGAGGTTGCGTTATGAGTTGTCACAAATCATTGGGACATTTGAAAAAAGTCTTTCCCCCTTTGTCATAGCCCATGGAATTTCACACAAGGGTTTCTTCTGCATGGCTCAGTAAAAATGCTGAATACATGCGTATTCAATAAAGCGATTCATTTGAGGCATGGGTACGCATTTTTCTTAGAGGGTATTTTTCCACCGTCTTGAATTCTAGTCCGTGAGCCCCCCCCTCCATATCTTGTATGATTATCTTTCACCGTAGAAGGGTTCTTCTTCTGGATTTCGTGGTATCTTAACATGCTTATAGTAATAGGGTTGTCAGTGATTGAACTGTACTGGCACATCTGCCATCTGTTGCCATCACACCTCTGTGCATTTCCACTAAAAGGCATTGCCTCACTGGGCTGTGGCAGCAACCTTTTCAGTTTCTCGGTACGCTTCACTCTACAGCACCTTGGCTTTTAGGCATAGCTGACTTTCGGAATATAACTTAGAAGTGTGGCAGCTTAGGCTAGTTGGTGTGGCATGATGATAGTTATATCGAGAACAAAACGACTGAGAACAAAACGACAGTTGGAAGTTAGCGCTCGTGTCTTTCATGTCCTTCTTGTCTCTGTGTCTTCGTTTTGTTCTCAGTTGGACGTTAGTGCTGGTGTCTTTCGTGTCCTTCTTGTCTCTGTGTCGTCGTTTTGTTCTCGCGCTATAACTATCGTCTATCGTTTCGGAGCATATTATGGCTGCAAACGGAACTTGTGAAAATGCTAGTTTGAGGTGGCGAGATAATCAGTGCGGCAGCAATTGTGGCTTTCATTGTGAATGTTCGAAAAATCGGATATCATAGAATCTCAAGAGGCCTAAACTTTACACATTCTTATTGACTATAAGGCTTGTGGCAGTGTTGTGAAAAATGTCCGAAGTTTTGACCATGTCCAAAAAATCTGTAGTAGACTGCCAAAATTGGACACTTAACTTACTGAACTGCACTCTTGGTAGCTGTTTGAGTTTTTGGTGTCCTCTAGGGTGCAGTGGGAATTAGTTACTGTAGTGTAAAAATCGCATGTGTTCATTATAAGCTGCTGTTTTTTTTGCTTTCTGCTTATGAATGCGCATTATGATATGCTTGTCTGGTCAGTTGTCTCCGGCAGTGTATTTTATTTGCTCAAGACACATGCCACACATTTTGCAGGTTTCAACTGCAAAGGAGTCTCACGAGGATGATGATTTCCAAAAAACGCTCGCAAAGCTGGATGAAAAAACCGAGGTGAGCAAGCTGCCTGCCACTTTTTTCTGGCCACCCGTCTGTCCACAAAGAAAAGGAAAAAAAGAAAGTGATAGCTTTTTCATACTGTTTACAAGTTCTTGGTGGGCTTTTGTGAAAAGCAAAAAAGAAGGACATAGATACACTTGCGTTCATCAACGATAGATCCATATTATAAAGCTGCACTTAATCAGCCTGACAGTAGTCTTCTATGGAATTATTTGTGCTTTGGTTACTATATCTTAATGAACTTTACTTTCTAGGACTAATGCAAAAGGACAAATAATCAGAAAACCATTGATTACTGGTTAATGAATCAACCGAAAATGGCAGTGAATATTGTGTATCCACCTGTCATAGCAAAAGCCTTCACCTAGTGAAGAAACTTGTTGCCCACTTTCGTACATTGAATAAGTTCTGTGTTGAAACTACAGAAAGTTGCGACGTGCTCCCACGTCGTCTCACTTTGATGTTTTATTTTCTGCTAGGAAAAGAAGCTGACCACGCGCTCAAGTCCACGAAAGACCTCCAAGGATTCAGAGAGCTCCGTTGTGAAAAAGTCATCACCTTCTAAAGGTTGGAGGGATGTTTGCATTAGTAGAGCCTAAGAACATCCGGAAATGTTCAGTTATCTAAAAAAGAAAATAAGTGATAAGTTAGTTTCGTATTATGGTATGTCTTGTCTGTATGCAAGATTGTCAAGGTCTCCTGCACTATGATGGTTCTGCTAATGAACATAAATAATAAATGGTAATCTGAATTTAATGACAGTGCCTCTTTGCCAGAGATCTCAAATTGACAAGTGCGCTTCACTACTGTGCGCTTCACTACTGACTCTTGTTCTCTTAAATAAACATCAATCAAAGGCATCCAATGTAATAGAATTTAGAGAAACCCTCTTTCCGAATAGCCTTACTGATAACGCAAAGCTAGGCCATACACTTAAGCCTAATTTTCGTAGAAATAAAACGAAAGTGTATACTGTTAAAGCTTTCCAATGTTGGTCAACTTTGAGAACACTATTTTTTGTTTTTTATGGAACATCTGATAGACGGCAAGGCAAGTTTGTAGACTATGTTATTGCTACAGTGTACTGATTTTGATGATTAAAACAATCGGCATTTTTTTAATGCGTAGTAATTTTCTATCGTTTCAGGCAGTGCTACGGAAAAGCCAGAGAGCAGCAAGAAACTGGAGAAGGAAAAGGCCGCAACTAAACATTCGCCGAAGAAACGGAAAGCAGAATCGCCAGTTGCGCGCGCTTCTGGTAATTTGTGACGATAGCTCTGCAGCTGCTGATGCTGCCCATGCTCTCATGTTCTATGATGATGCCAGCCTTTTATTTCATTTGTGTTTTACTTTTGAAGTATACATAAGCAGTGCACAAAACACGTTGGGCCAGTACCCAAAGCATGTACATAATTATGCACGTTTTGGCTGTCGTGTGAAATGATGTGCATGCAGATTTTGCACTATTGCGTCTTGCATACACGCTGTGAAAATAATTTTTAATAAACATTAGAAATTTTGTAAAATGTTAGTTATAACACTCAAAATTAATGTCCATGTTTGGACAAGAATTCAATAACAATGTGAGGGAAAGACGGTGTTTTGTTGCACAGTGCCAATGTACTATAAACACGTATTAAAACAGCCATATTACAGATACTAAGTGAAACAAGCAAACAAATGAAAAAGTAACAAACATACAGATGAAATAGTAAAGTAATATTCTATCATAATGACAGCTTGTTCAATCTTTGAGGACTCAAGCCTTTTCGTAATAAGTGCAAAGTTATCATCTGCAATAGTACCATATTTACACGATTGTAAATCTACTCAACTGTAAGTCAACACCACTAAAACCGCGTGGGAAAAAAAAAGGACATACGAGCACATTTCGCAAAGAAAGTCACAGCTTTGCCTCAAAGGCAAAGCAATGAATGCGATAGCAACAAATTGGAATGTCATGCCAAGAATAGCTAGTAGATCAAAACGTGCCCCACGTTACTTATGCACAAACAATGCATGAAACGTACTCACAGGTACAGATGAACGTGAATAAGTGTCTTAGTTGTTACTTTGCTGTGTCTGAAAAGCGCGCCTTTTCACAAACGGAGACTGTGCAGGGAGTGCAGTGATCTGTGTGCGCCCGGTAACTACAACAGAATCATACCCGTGAAAGCCTAAGGTGTACGATTCTCCCCAACACGAGATTGGCGTGCCCACGCATGAGCGCCCACCCTCTCCTCTCCACGGGGCAAGGTATGGGTAGATGAGAGCGCGCGCTGCTACATCCTGACGATCTGGCGACGCTTGCTCATTGCTCCATCATGCTGGTAATGCCGAAAACACGATAGTTCCCCCAAGATGGGCATCGCCAGTGGTAAGTGGTAAATATAAATAGCTTGCTGTTTCAGTGTTGAAAAGGGCGCTCTTTCGTAGCTCAGTGGCTAGCATCACGCACTCACAAGCAAGAGGTCGAACGTTTGATTCTGTGCACCGTAGTTTTTTCGCTTTCGTGTATATATATATTTATATATATATCTACACACACACACACATACATGCATACATACATATAATGTGAATGATGGCGAACGTTGTTGATGCCGGGGGCTAAATTCAGCAGAGAGAGTGGATATAATTTCCATCACAATAAAAAATTTACGATGTGTTTGGAGAAAACTAAATCAAATTCTAGTGTGCCAAGGTAGCTTCACAGCAGGGCTTGAAAGCTATGCAGAAAATCTACCTTTTCCGAAAATACTCGGGGGGGGGGGGGGGGGGGGGTATTTTCAGATATACTTCACAGCTGTATAGTTTTTGATTCTGGGTCGACCACTCTTCTTTCTAACTTTGGGTTTCAAATTAAGATGAAATGGGTCGACCTACAATCGTGTAAATACAGTACCTTCAAAACGTGTTGTTACTTTTCAAACAGCACTTCGTAAAAGATGGTGCCACTTTCTGTTGCGCTGATGACAGGGTAATGAAACCATCTCAACGTAATAAGTGGTAGTGTTTTTAAAAAGCAAGTCACACTTTGCTGATTCAAAGCTGTTGATTTGTCATCAGATTCTGCTAGCCAGTCATCCAAGAAAGCTGAGAAAGAACTGACACATAAAAGGGAAAGCCCGAGGAAAGTACCAGAGAAGACGGAAAGAGTAACACCTGGCAAGCAAGCTGCCAGAAAGGAGAAACCTGCACCTGCTAAGGTGCGCTTTGTTACTTCAAAGTATTCGTGTTTGTGCAAACAAAGACAAGCATGGTAGACTCTCACTAATGGAACCCGAAAAAACCAGACTAATATGTTTCATTTAACAGGAGCTTCATTTACCACGAGACTTGTAGGCGTGCACGATTCAGGGACGGAACCAATGGTATTGGCACAAGCCAACTCCAAACTATGCGTGCCGTCCAATTCTTACACCCTCCCTTTTGTGGATTGTGTACTTCGGGAACAAATGACCGATTCGGCAAGTAGCAACGTGCCGGCATGAGCCAAGCAACAGCAGCTACGCGCCACACGTGATACACAACAGAAACAAAAGAAGAGGTGAAGGATTTAGAATGGACTGTTGTCTGAAGCGGGCACGCAGACTTTTTTGAGTCGTTTGTTTTTTGGGCACAAGTTTGGCCCAATTACTTAATTTCATTAGTCTGCCTTTAATTGTGCATTACAGTATCAGAGGCAGTTTTCTATCTAAGCAGCAGTTTCATTTAACTTATTTCCGTTTACTGAGAGTCCACTGTATGTTTTGAAGGTGTAAGTTTCATGGATGTCGTGTTGCTCATAATGCAAAATATTCTGTTGGTTTAGTTTGGTTTAATCAAACTGTTTCACCACTTAGTGCGTAGATGTAGAGAAAGTAGCCTTCTCTGCATATATTTTTATATTTGTTTCAAAGGAGAAAGTACCTAAGGAAGAGAAATCGGCTGCTGCCGCCGCGCCTGCCTTTCGAAGAGGAAACGCCGCCAACTACCAGAGTTACCTCAACAGGGAGGGCCCGAGGTTGCTTGGAACACGAGACATACCTGAGGTACTGTCAGACATGGCTGCATAGTTCTCATTTTCAGGTAATCCCCAAATTTACCTACATTGTCTCTTGATAACAGACACTGCACCAGAGGTAATTGTGCCCAACTCCCAGCAACAAAACTACAGCTTTTTCATTGCCATTGTGAATCCCCGAAAAAAAAAAAAAGCTTTTACAGAATGTTGCTGATACTGCAGGGTAGCACATAGTTCGTCATTTTGAAGCCTCAGCTTTTGTAATTTGGCTACTGGAATGTCTGACTTTACGATACGATCTGGGAGAAGAACTTTGTGCAGGTATCGTAAGAAATTGTCAAGGAACTTTTCTGCTGAATGTCATTTCTCGGGCCTGAAATGCAGCAATGCTTGATTACTGTCAACTACGGGTGGTCTGTGTGGTCTCCTTAAGCGTTGTCAGTCGAGAAGTTCTTGCTGGGGTAAATATGCAACAGGGTAGTAGATTGTTGGTTATATATTATTGTATAGTGGCACAGATATTATGAAGGAAACGGAAAAGACACCAGGAGCTGAAGTAAAACTTTCAGATGTATTGCGCACACCCATGCGCAGTAATGTTGTTCAACCTGTTCTTGTACACTGCAAGAATAGCATTTGCTTAACTTGATGCTATTCGCTTCGATCATTCACTTTTTAGTAATGAAATCATGAGCACTTCTTGTGCATTTTCCAAGCCGTAGCGCTCGATAAGATGGAAATTTCGATAGATTGAAAATTGGTGAGTGAAAGTGAGGGGGGGGTGCTCGGGCATTATCTTGTTTTATTTTGTGATTAATTTTCGTTTTTTTGTATGCAAACTTATGTTTATTACACTATTGTTTTCTAGAGCCGTGCAAATAGCAAAACTTTGGGTGCGAGATGAATTCGAGAAATAAAGTATGAGTGTGAATCGAATCGAAGAATTTTTCAAAGATTTTCACATAATTCAAAGCGAAATTGCAGGAAAAACACTGCAGAGGATCCTTTAGCATGTTCTAAATTGTATTATACAAAACATATCCCTGCAATGGCATGATTGAATGACGCCATTTTGAGAGCATTTCTTCATCTCTAAACTTCCCACTTCAGTTGAGTCCTCCATGCAAAAGCAAGCCTACAAAAAGCAAGCCTACAAAAAGCAAATGTCTAAAGTTCATTTCCAGGCCTCCCAATTGCTGCATCTACCGTGATGCTCAAGCATGCTTCCCCGTTTGTCCGATGCATGCTCCGGGCGAGTGTTGTCTGCGACTTGCTCGTCACGAAGTCACGGCTGCCAAAAATAGTGCTGCCTAGTGATGCACGCATTCACACTGGTTCTGTGTTTATTTAGAATAGAATTTTGCTTCAGTTTCACAACTGTAAAAGGAACCTCAATCAGATTATGATAGGACGCCGCACATCCTGCGAACATCGCAGACATGTGTCCTGAACCAACTCAATGTAACATTGACACGTGGGACCCACGGTGAGAGGCTCTGCTTATCAGCATTTCGGACCTAGTGATGAAAACTATCGCAGAATGGCTCGTTGTACTCGCAGTTGGGCATGACGTACTTCGAAAAACACGAGCATTGTGGCCATGCGAACTACAACCGGGCTTACTGCTTGTAGTCGTGGCTAGGTCCCGAAGTCGTGGCTGGGCTACGACACAGTACAAGTGTTTGTCCTGTGCTGACGGCACCCCGTGTATGGCACGAATCTGAATTTTGCTGGCAAAAGCAACGCGCTAAAGAACATGCAAAACCGACGAAGGCGTAATGTTCTTTGTCGCAAGCAACGAATCACAGTGTCCGCCGGCTTCTGGGAACCATGGATTAGCATTTCAAAAACGGACCCGCAGCCATACCTGCCAACTCTCCCGAATTTTCCGGGAGACTCCTGAATTTGGACCTAATCTCCCGATTGTACGAATGTCATCTCGAATCTCCCGAAAAGTGGTCACCACAGCAGAGGCAGTTTTTTTTTTTTCTTGCTCTCTTTTTAAGATCATGCGCATACGTCAGCCTTCTCTGCTGCGGCAGTGGTGGTGCTGTGGAAGAGCACTCGCCACCACACTTCTATTTCATTGTAACCATATCGTAGAGTACCGCTGAGTACATTCTCGGCACTGCGCATCTTGACGAAGGCTGGCCGCGAGAAGCGCTCGCCGCCGTACCGAAAGAAGGCAAGGGAAAATGTAGTCTCAAAGGAAAAAGATTGCGGCGCTGTATGTTCACGAGCGCTCCGATAACGAGACGGCGAGACTGTCGAGCACATTCCATTTTCCAAAGGAGGGGTGGCCGGTAGACCGGCGGTAGGCGGACCCCAATGTGCTTTGCACTCTCCATATCGGCGTGCTTCGGAGAAACAGCGCCGCGTGTCGCACTCTTGTCGCTCCAACCACCATTCAGTTCACTTGCTTCCGTTGTGCCTAGCCAGAACTTCTTCTCCGTCTTGGCCCCCGCATTTCGTACACTACGCCTACGCCGTCTGCCGTGGCTGTGGGGGTTGCGTGTTTCCAGAGTTCAGTTAGAAGGTCGATGGCGGTGTCAAAATCAAAGAAGAAGTACTTGCAAGTGTTTCTGGACTCATACACAGCTGAGTTTCCGTGCTTTGTGACTTCGCGGAAAGGTGACAAGTTCGGATTCTGTACCACGTGCGCCTGTGACGTGAGCATGTCGCACGGCGGGAAGGCCGATATAAAGGTGCATATCGCTTCACAGAAGCATCAGAACTACATTCGTGCTGCGGAAGGGCAAGGCAACATCGGTAGCTTTTTCCAAAAGAGCTGCGAAGACAGTGCGATCCGCGCAGAATGCCTATTCACGGGATTCCTTGTGGAACACAACTTGCCGCTAAGCGTTAGTGATCACGCAGGGCCGTTGTTTCGGAAAATGTTCCCGAAGTGCGAGGACACGAAGCGGTACGGGTGCGGACGTATGAAAACCGCTGCCATCGTCAGAGAAATGGCTGCACATACCGGAAACACAATGGCGGAGGCTCTGAAACGCCGTGCTTTCGCAATTGCACTGGACGGAAGCAACGACAGCGGGTCGCAAATGTACCCAATCGTGGCAACGTACTACGTCGAGGAATCGCGAAACGTGGAAAGCCGACTACTTTGTTTGCAGGAACTCCATGGAGAGGCCACCGGACGAAAGATTGGAAACCTTGTTCTGGACGCGCTCAAATCGCGTGGTATACCGATTGAGAACTGCATCGCATTTTCTGCCGACAATGCCAATGTGATGATCGGCAAAAAAAAAACCGGTGTGGCAGCTGTGCTAAAAGAAGCCCAAGATAATTTGATAGTCGTTGGCTGCCCGTGCCACCTTATAAATCTTGCGGCCGAGAAAGGAGCCGCATGCTTACCTGCAAAATTCAACGAGGTGCTCGTGGACATCTACTTCCTTGAGAAGAGCGCCAAGCGGAAAGACAGGCTTGTTGAATTTCAAGGGATGCACAACAGGGAGGTGCGGAAGATTTTGAAACACGTGCCAATGCGGTGGCTATTGCTTGGAAGGTGTCTCACCAGATTGCTGGAGCAGTGGCAGCCCTTGGTCAGCTGCTTTTTGAATGAGACAAAGCCGAAAAGCCAGCAGCGCCCAAGCTTTCTGGGGTCGTACCAGATCCCCAAGACAGCTGCAGCTTCGGCAGATGTGCGCGACGAAGTCCAGCAAGATCACCAAAAACGGAAGGTTTTGTGATCACTGCAGAGGATCCTTTAGCATGTTCTAAATTGTATTATACAAAACATATCCCTGCAATGGCATGATTGAATGATGCCATTTTGAGAGCATTTCTTTATCTCTAAACTTCCCACTTCAGTTGAGTCCTCCATGCAATTTTGCAAAGGTTTTGTGATTGATGCAAAGGTTTTGCAAAGGTTTTGTGATTGATGCAAGATGCATCAATCTTGCATCAAGAGGCAAGATTGATGCAACCCCGGCAAAGAAAGTGAAGCTTTCATCTGAAAGTACCGGACGTGCCAGTTTGACCCGTGAGGAACGGCTTTTGTACTTCCTGACCTCTGATGTAAACTTCGCTTGTGGACTTTTCTTGAAGAGTGTCATCCCTGTGTTTGACAAAGTCAACGCCTCAACTTCAGTCACAGGCACCTCAAATTCATCTGCTCCAGTCCCTCTTAATGCAGTTCCTAAGGGACCTTTTGGCTAGGTTTGTCAATCCCTCTGCCATCAAGGCCTGCTCTTCGCCACTGGAGGTTCCCTATCAAGATCTAAAGAACCAAAAAGCCAACGAAGATCTTGTCCTCGGTTGCCGCACATTGTCTGTTGCGAAAGGACTGCGTGCCAGTAAGAAGCAGGAGTTTTTTTCTACTGTTCGGAAGTACTTTACTGTCACATGTGACTATATACGGCACAAATTTTCACTGAAGAATGAAACCTTGAATAAAGCGGAAGTCGCTAATTTGAAGTTTTTGAACGACGCATCTTTCACAAGCCTTCGCTTCTTCGTGGAGTCCTTCCCGCAAATTCTGCCCCAGGGGAAGAATGAGTCAAGAGTAGAAGCCTTCGATGCTCTTGAAGGGGAATTTGCAGAACTGCAGGCCCACCGTATTTCTGAGGACATTCTAAGTGAAGAGAGGATTGATGTTCAGTGGTCAGAAGTGGGAAGAATCACTAGCGTTGATGAAGAAGTGAAATTTGGTAGAGTGTCAAAAATGATGCTGCAGCTGCTTGCCATTCCACACAGCAATGCTGAATGTGAGAGGATATTTCGCATGGTTAAGAAGGTGAGAACTGAATTTCGGTCTTCGCTTTCAAACAAGACTCTAGGTGACCTCCTCATGGTGAAGAGTCACCAAACTGGACGTTGTTTTGAGCAGGTGTATTCTGACAACTTTTTGAGGCTTGCGAAGTCCGCAACTGCCAGGTGCCTTCACAAGTAAAGAAGTTTGGTTCAAGCAGCAGCTCAAAATAAACATCCCTACCCCTCCCTGATGTCAGTCTCCAGTCTCAGTAACTTCCGCTATGCAACCCCCCCCCCCTCCCCCGCTGCGGTCTCCCGAATTTTGATGCTGCGAGGTTGGCAGGTATGCCCGCAGCGAACCTCCCACCCAGCCAAGCTCATGTGCAGCGACAGCTTGGAGTACCGGTAGAAGCAGCAAGCGGTTTCGGGTGTCGGTGCCCCAAAACGCAAGACCAAGCACACCGCAAGCCGATTTATTGTCATAATTACTTCTTTAGTGCTGCTGTGTAGCCGGAAATGACACAGGAGGTGGTTGAATAGGAAGATTCGGATACGAATCAAATCAAATAGCTAACACTCTTAGAAAAATATTTGAAAGTTCAAATATCCACACACCCTTATAGTTTTTGCTTAAATGCACTTGAGGGTTAGTGCTCGTCCCATTTCGTTTCTTACTGCTTGTGATGTATTGTCAGTAAGCACTGTTCCATTGTACTGTAGGCGCCAAATCATGATGTGCGCATTTCAACTTTGCAGGGTGCCCCAGGCTGCCTGAAAGGTGTGACGTTAGTGGTGACTGGAGTTTTGGAATGCATAGAACGCGATGATGCGAAGGAGCTGCTGGAGCGCTGCGGTGCCAAGGTCACACAAAGTGTCAGCCGCAATACCACCTACCTCGTTGCAGGTCGGGACTCAGGCCCAGCCAAGATACGCAAGGTAATTTGCATATTGACACCGGTACACGCTGACACCTTTTCACTGGCTCTTGAGTGCTGCAAGTATTACACACAGCTTACGCTCGTGTGCATGGCGACCCATCGCTGTGTTCAAGGTCGACGAACTGGGCCTAATATGCTGTGGCAACATCAACGGACTGTCGCTCAAGCGATTGTCTTTCGCTCAAGCGATTCGTCGCTCAAGCGATTGTCTTTAGTCAGAATTGGCCTAGTCGGAAAGCTTTTATGATTGATTTCCTGGAGAAAGGCTTTATTTACCTGACGTACTGGCTGCTAGTATTTGGGTCAAGCTCACTAGCACATTTATTATTTTTCATGTTATTTTTTTTGTTAATATTTTGTTTCCTTCCCTCTGGAATATCTTAATCCCATTCCTGTACAGAGTGGCATAGCAGCAGTTATGTAGGCATCGACGAAAATCTGTTTTTCCAACGAAGAGTCTCCCTTTCTCTTTTAGACTGCGTTGGAACTTATTTCAGTTTGTCAATTACCATGTGATTAGAGCCATGGGGAGCTCTGCTAGTATTGGTACCCACTTTTTCAGTGTCTTGCTCAACTGCTGTGTGTTTGGAATGTTTTAGAGTCGTTTGAGTCGTTTCATTTGAGGAAAACCTTAAAAGGCCAGCATGTTACCAGTGAGGTGTCAACTGACACCTCATAGCTTTGTTTCGTTTGAATACTGCAGTGTAGTGCTACTGGGTTACATATACAGTAACTTATTATTTTACTAATGGTAACCCATTCATTCACAAGATGAAGCTTTCAAAGAAATGATGTACACAAAGTCCAATAAAATGATAATGTGCCTACTTTATAACCGTTGCAAAGATGACAAAAACGCAGAAGGACACAGGTCAGGTGCTTGTTCTGCCTTCTTCTTCTATGTGTTCTCCGTTGTCAGGTGCTTGTTCTACCTTCTTCTTCTTCTATGTGTTCTCCGCTGTACAGTAAACCCTCGTTAGCTCGAACTCGCATATCTCGAAATCTCGGTTAAGTCGAAACTTTTTTTCGCCGTGCATTAACCTCCCATAGGTGCTATGTATTTTCCCCCTCTTATCTCGAAACGTTTTCCGGAGGGAACAGTGGATATCTCGAAATCTTGACAGGGAGGGCAGAAGGCAAAGTCTACTCCCAACAGGAAACGAGGGCTCCGTGCGAATGCTTACCGTAATTACTCGAATCTAACGCGCACCTTTTTTCCGGTTAAGGGAGTTCATAAATCGCATGCGCGTTAGAATTGAGTACGAAAAAAAAAATGAATATGGTCATTCTATTGCCATCGGCATTTCCAAAATGGCCGCCCCCTATGTGCGTCGGCATGGCGCGTCGGCCATTTCTGCCTATGCGTTTCCCATGTGCGGCACTTCGTACGTGTGCTGAGGAGTTTGTCATCTTGTAGTGCATTAGCATCGACGGCATGGAAGGGCCGACTCCAAAAACTCGAGTGCACCACGATGCTGCTTTTAAAAGAACAGTCATCGGGTGTGCAGAAACGGACGGAAATCGGGCCGCATCGCGGTCGTTCGGAGTTCCCGAAACGTGCGTGCGGGACTGGCGGAAACAAAAGCAGAAGATTGCTGACAGCAAAGCTTCACGCAAAGGCTTCAGTGAACCACAGCAGGGTCGGTTTCCGCAAATTAAAGAGCTGCTCGGCGAGTATGTGCTTGAGCAGCAAGCGGCACAGCAGCCGTGACGACAGAACTCCAAGCGCGGGCTACGCAATTAGCCTTAGAAAAAGGTCTAATGCGGAGCCAGTTTAAAGCGAGCAGGTACTGGCTAACTAACTTTATGAAGAGAAAAGGCTTTTCCCTCCGAAGGGGAAGGGGCATATGCGAAAAGTTTTGCGGAGGAGTACGATGAAATGCTTCACAGTTTTCAGAGGTTCGTCCTAAACTTGCGGCACAACAACGGCTACCTGCTTGGGAAAATCGGGAATGCCGATCAGACGCCTCTTTACTTCGACATGCCTGGCACCACAACCGTCGAGAAGAAGGGGGCGAAGCAAGTTTGCGTGCTGACATCGGTCCACGGTAAAACTACAGTGACGGCAATGCTCTGTTACACGTCAGATGGGCACAAGTTTCGGCCGTACCTCATATTTAACTGGAAGACGCTCCCGAAAGGAGTAGTTTTTTCGAGTGGAGTGATCGCGCGGGCCAGCGAGAAAAATGGGTGCGCGTCGCAATCGATGTCTTACTTTTTTTTTTCGTCGTGGAAATCGGGTGCGCGTTACAATCGAGGGCGCGGTAGAATCGAGTAAATACGGTAGCTCTTACTATATGTGCCGAACGCAGTCGTGAAAGGCGAATTTGAAATTCCCGCGGACGCAGCCGTTTCCTATCAGCCTTGTCAGGCAACTGTGGGAGTGATGACGTGTGCGCACCTGCGCGCGACTTATGCGCGGTGGGCGGCGTGTGCAGCATGCGCTCGTCAGTATGCAACCTAGCCCTTGCATGTGCGAGCTGGTATTCTTTGTTTTCCTCGCGATCTGTGCACGACGCATGTTGAGCTCAGTTTTGCTGAGTAGTGAGTGGTCTGTGCAACGGACGCTTCCGTATCGACCAAGATGTCCCGCCCAAAGCAGTGCAAATCTCTGACGTTGGAGAGAAAAGTCGCGCTAATCAAGGAAGTGGAAAAAGCAAGTCGAAGCAAGTCGTGCATCGCCAAAGAATTCGGCATCCCTTTGTCAACCCTCTCGACAGTGCTTAAGAACAAACAAAAGGTTTTGGAAGGCTTCGAGCAAAGCTTCTCAAGCAAGCGGAAGCGCATTCGAGCGTCCAAATTCCCGGGCGTCGAAGCAGCACTTCTGTTGTGGCTCCAAAACCTTCGAGCAGCCAATCTTCCCGTGACAACCCAAATGATGATGGAGAAAGCACACGCTTTGGCACTGCAGATGGGTCACGCGGATTTCAGTTGCAGCAATGGCTGGTTCGAGTGGTTTAAGACGCGAAATAACGTGTCATCGAAGCCTATCCACGGCGAAAGCGGCATTGTTGACGAACAGGCTGCAGACGCATGGCGCAAGCTACGCCTAGCCGAGCTGCAAAAGGAGTACGCGGACAAGGACATCTTTAACCTAGACGAAGCCGCTCTCTTTTACAATGCCTAACCGCACATACACACCAAAAGGCGAAGCGTGCTCAGGCGCTAAGCAACGAAAAGACAGGATAACAATTCTTTTTGGTGCCAACGCTACCGGCGATGAAAAGCTGCCCCTCCTCATCATTGGCAAGTCGCTGAATCCCAGGTGTTTCCGAAATGCACGGCTCCCGAGGGATGTGACCTACCGCGCAAATAAAACAGCCTGGATGACGGCGGCGCTTTTCGAAGAGCATGTCCGTGCGCTTGATCAAAAGATGGCAAAGGACGGTCGGAAAGTGTTGTTTGTTGTGGATAACTGCCCCGGCCACGGAAAAATCGACAACTTGGCGGCTGTTACGCTGGAGTTCCTGCCGGCGAACATGACGTCCGTTCTCCAGCCAATGGATCAGGGAGTCATTGAGATGGCCCGCAAGTATTATAGGAAAAGCTTGCTGCACCGAATTCTGCTGTCATACGACAATGGGAAAAAGTATGAAATCGATCTGCTGGGTGCAGTCAATCTGATGGCCGAAGCCTGGCGCCAACTACGCCCGCTGGCGATTGCTAACTGCTTCGCACATGCAGGGTTTTCTCGCGCTCCAGAATCGATCGAAGAAGACATTGGCGCAGAATTCAGCGGCTGTGATGAGCTGTGCAATGAAGTGCGCAAGGCAACTGGCTGCGTGAGCGATACTGAAGACGGCGAGATCGCCTTTGAGGAGTATGCGCTCTACGAGGCCGACGTCCCCGTTACCGGAATGCTGTCGGACGCCGATATCGTTGAGATGGCCGTGAACGACGCAGATGACCATGCAGATGAGGAAGAGCCTCGAGAAGTGCCTACGACGACAGAAACACGTAACATGCTGTGCTTGCTCCGCAACAAGGTCGAATGCAGCGGTGGCGACCAACGGCTCATGCGATGTGTTGAGCAACTGGAGAACGCCTTTCTCGGACCGAACGCTAAAGCGAAACAAACGAGCATCACGCAATTTTTTGGTCCTCGGTAATAAATTTTTTTCCCCTCCAAATTCTTGTGCCTTTACTACGGTAGCTGTTTTTTGCAGTGGAGCTTTTCCTAGCAGCACTGGCTTTTCTTTTACAGTGACCTGGGCGAACATTTTCGGCGTTTTGCTTAACTCGAAATACCGCCTGTCTCGAAATTTTCCCCGGATTTGATGGCTTCGAGTTAACGAGGGATTACTGTATTTGCACTCATTTTTTGAGTGATGCATCGATTTCAATGCGCCCTCCTTTCTACGTTACGATAAAGTGGCAGCACTCGTTGATGTTTATTCAAACACCCGAATGACATACATTCCTTATGTGCACTCCAAGCAGAACCATGGAAAAGGCAGTGCCACAGTATGCGCAGTCACAGACTTTTATGGATGGAATAAGTGCCTTGCCAACAGCTTCTTTGTGGCATTTTCGCTACATCAGCAGCAGTCGACAGCAGGGCTTCACCCAAAACACAGACCTGTTGATTTTATCACTGGCCACTAATATTTCCTGTCTTTCACTTTCTGACTGCGATGCGCTCAGCAGCTGTTGTTAGGTGCTCCTGTATCAAGAGCAGTCCATCAGTGTAACTTTCGTAAGTCGCATTCGTTCGCTCAAAGTGACATCCAATGGTGCACCATTTAAGGCACACCGTGATAGCTGCAGTTCTGCAATCACAGTGGAAGTGTGGCGTTCGGGTCACAGACAAGCGCTTTGCATGAATCTGACAGCGTGCTGCACTGCAGTAGAAAACTGATATCCCAGTGAATAACAAGGTTCCCAGGCCAGCACTGCGGTGTCATGGTAGCTTACGCACTGCTTGGTTCTGTGGGCAGACAGCAAACATGTGCTTACATTATGGTCTGTAAACTTTTCTGGTTGACCGTACCTATGTCGTGCCATTGTCTTTAATTGTTCTGCTATGAATCTGTGTTGTGCCAGTATCCTCTGATGTTGAAATTCACATTAACAATTAGCAGAGATTTTTTCCCACGTGTACTTATGTTTTAAAGTGGGAGCGTGGGCATTACACAAAGGTCTGCTTTACATATAAAAATACGGTGAATTACTGCGATTTGACTAGAGTGAAGAGTTGGTTTTTATGAAGCCCTTGTATGGAATGTTTCCGACTGCCTTGATCACGAACTCTTTGTCTCCCTTGCACAAGAGCAGTCCATTTCTTTTTATTCCAGGCTGAAGAGTGCAAGGTGGAAATAATAGATGAAGATGCATTGTACGAGCTAATCGAAAGTCGTTCAGGTGGTGACGGCAAGCGCAAAGCTGAGGACGCTGAAGTCAAGGAAAAACCAGAGGAGGCTAGTACGCCGAAGAAAAAGCGAAAAGTGGACCCTGATGACAGCTCTGAGGAAAGCCGGTCAAAGGGCTCGCCAAGGGTCAAAGAGCATGTCATTTCCCCAACCAAGAAATCGAAAGATGCCAGCACCACGGAAACGCCGTCCACATCCAGCAGTCAGCAGTCACGGACAACAGCCGTAAGCTATTCCATTAAGTAGCTCGTTTCGACTTTCAACTGCTGAAGTTTTCATTAGGGGTGTGCGAATACTCAACTTCAAATATTTGATTTGGACATTTTGCTTTTTGATTCTATTTGCAAGGCACATTTACAATAAAAAATATGCGATTCCCACAAAACTTCATAACGAGCACTGAAATAGAAAAAATGACATACCTGTGCTAAATTACCTTTTTGTGTCTGGCGGTAGATTTTTTCTTTTCTTTTCATTTTTTTTGGCTGGCAAGTTGTGCTATTTTCATTCAACAATATTCTAAAAATAATATTTTCAATCAGCACTTCATTTTAATTATCTGTATTTTCTTTGTGCTTAATATTTTATATTTGCACAATCATAGTTTTTGCAGGATTGAATTTGTCAAATAAAAAAGAGAAAAACTTTACAAGGCTTTCCTGGCAGTCTGACATTTTGTTTTATGGAAGCAGATAAGATTTAAATATTCTTATGCAATTACAGTGCCAGTGCTCCCGAGTTTTTTTTTTTTTCAAAAGAAAAATAGAGTGTAGCCTGAAAAGGCTTTGGCCTGTTCATGCCTCTAGAGTGCTGCTTGTGCATTCAGACGAACCAAATTTTAAATCTGTGAAGATTGAAGGGCCCCTGCTGGGCTTAAGTGTTTGGTGTTAGGTTAGGTGGAGACTATGTCTGCAAAGTATAAAACGCCCGTGTGACATAAAAATTGTCCAAATTGTAAATTTGAGGTCATGCGACCTTTTCTTCGAGAGCGCTGCGTATTGAGAGAAAGTGAGTTACACGCAAGGTGTCTTTTTTGGAATATCGCTGGCAGAGACGTGTTGCTGTGCCTCTTCACCTAACGCGGTCCTTGCAGTGCTGCTGCTAGAAGTGCACCGTGAAGCTAAGTAAATTGAGCTGAAGTAAAAAAAAAAAAAGGATGTGTTCGTTGCCTGGATATGATGCATCCCTTGCCTTCGACAGTTTTCAGTCTTCAGCACTTACAAATGCTAGCCAAGGCAGAGGCAGAAAGTGTCTGCTATGGCGGTGAACCTTGCCTCATGCAAGGCATGGTGAAAGGACAGTTTCATTTCTTCTAACCTATGTTGACTGATTTGGTGATCTCCTGTGGTAAAACACTCCTTCAACAATGATTTACAGCTCGCAGTGTGTAAGCAAAACTCGGAATGCATCTCTCCGAAGCTTATCTAAGAACTCTGCACATCTCGCACAGTCTTTTAGGATTTAGTGATCTGTATCTTTAGTGGCTGTGCCAAAGGCATAACTTTGATTATCATTAATTTTTCTGATTGTCATCAATTTTTCGTTAATTCCTTGCTTGTGGAACACTCATGCTGTATTGGGGAGGCCTTTTGCAATCAAGCGAGCGGACGCTCTGGTCAATAACGAGTAGTCACAAGTAATATACATCACTGCACTACACGGCTGTGCTGCAGTGAAGCCTATCTATTGAAATCCTTTATTAAGGAGTGTGCATAAAATTATTACAAGCCATCACATTTTGAGTTGCCCTGCCTTGATCATATTTTTCTGGGTGCTGTTTCATTGGCGTGAGTACTTTTTACAGATAAAATGATCATGTGTGAGTTAGCAGTGCACCTGCAGGAGTGCGATTAAGTGTTCATTGTACCGAATATTGATATGAACCTGAGTTGAATATACATAATATAGTTGACACTTTTTTCATACAGTTTCCAGTAGCATGTCACAATTGGGCATAGTGAACAGCTTGAAGTATCTGGGTTCGATAGATCCAGGTGTGTCCTCTGCGAGAGCCTGCTGTTGTTACAGCAACTAAGTCGGAGTAATTGTCTTTTGCTGGTTCCTTTCTCTTTGCCCTTATCACTGACTCCACCGCGTCTTCGTGCAGGAGATGTGGGTGGACAAGTACAAGCCGCAGACAACCAAGCAGATCATAGGCCAGCAGGGAGACAAGAGCAACTGCGGCAAGTTGCTGCTGTGGTTGCGCAACTGGCACAAGAGTCGTCTGGGACCCAAGAAGCCAATACGTGAGTGGCATTTTCTTGAGTTCCATCAGCCCCCCCCCCCCCCCCCCCCGGCCTTTCTTTTTGTCAGTGCACTTGAACCCTGTTACAACAATGTTGAAGGGGGAATTAGAGTTACCTTGTTGTATCTGTTACTTTCTTATATATATTATTGTCCATTACTTCAATACATGCACAGTGGGGGTGCACAATTTCAAACATGCAAAGAAGGAGATGAATATGTGTAACCCCCAAAACTTGTGCTGCTGCCCGAGCGTGCTGCCCGAGCGTGCTGCCCGAGTGTGCTGCTCCTACTCTCCAGGCTGTGTGTTTTAGCACTACAGTCGCTAAGTGAAATCTTTCGAGTAGCATGCGTGGTCGTGTTTACTCTTATGTTTTCTGTTGTGCCTAATGTGTTCCTCTGGTCACTGCGGCTTTTGTATCTATGTTCTTCTGTCTGGTGACCTATGTCCGTGTTTGCCGTGAGTGTGTTCATGTTTTTAGCCCCATAAAATGCAGGGGTGGAATAAGTAGCTTGTTGCGTCAGTGCTGCAATAACTAGCTTTTTGGATGCGATGCGTCGCTGTGAGGCTCTAGCAATTTCACATGAAAAGGCGGCAATAGAATGATGTTGGTAAGTTGTGCTATTTGCATTTAAAAATATTCTAAAATGTTATTTTCAATCAGCACTTGATTTTAATTAACTGTATTTCCTTTATGCTTAATATTTTATATTTGCACACCCATAGTTTTCACAGGATTGAATTTGTCAAATAAAAAAGAAAAACTTTACAAGGCCTTCCTGGCAGTCTGACATTTTGGTTTTATAGAAGCAGATTCGATTTAAATATTCTTTTGCAATTACAGTGCCAGTGCTCCCGAGTTTTTTTTTTTTTAAAAGAAGGATAGAGTGTAGCCTGAAAAGGCTTTGGCCTGTTCATGCCTCTAGAGTGCTGCTTGTGCACTTAGACGAACCAAATTTTAAATCTGTGAAGATTGAAGGGCCCCTGCTGGGCTTAAGTGTTTGGTGTTAAGTTTGGTGGAGACTATGTCTGCAAAGTATAAAGCACCCGTGTGACATAAAAGTTGTCCAAATTGTAAATTTGAGGCCATGCAACCTTTTCTTCGAGGGCACTGCGTATTGAGAGAAAGTGAAAGTCACACGCAAGGGGCCTTTTTTGGAATGTCACTGGCAGAGACATGTTGCTGTGCCTCTTCACCTAACGCGGTCCTTGCAGTGCTGCTGCTGGAAGTGCACCGTGAAGCTAAGTAAATAGAGCTGAAGTAAAAAAAAAGATGTGTTCGTTGCCTGAATATGATGCATCCCTTGCCTTCGACAGTTTTCAGTCTTCAGCACTTACAAACGCTAGCCAAGGCAGAGGCAGAAAGTGTCTGCTATGGCGGTGAACCTTGCCTCATGCAAGGCATGGTGAAAAGACAGTTTCATTTCTTCTAACCTATGTTGACTGATTTGGTGATCTCCTGTGGTAAAACACTCCCTCAATAATGATTTACAACTCGCAGTGTGTAAGCAAAACTCGAAATGCATCTCTCCGAAGCTTCTTATCTAAGAACTCTGCACATCTCGCACAGTCTCTTAGGATTTAGTGATCTGTATCTTTAGTGGCTGTGCCAAAGGCATAACTTTGATTCTCATTAATTTTTCTGATTGTCATTAATTTTTTGTGAATTCCTTGCTTGTGGAACACTCATGTTGTATTGGGGAGGCCTTTTGCATTCCAGCGAGCGGAGACACTCTGGTCAATAACGAGTGGTTACAAGTAATATGCATCACTGCACTACACGGCTGTGCTGCAGTAAAGCCTACCTATTGAAATCTTTTATTACGGAGTGTGCATAAAATTATTACAAGCCATCACATTTTGAGTTGCCCTGCCTTGATCATATTTTTCTGGGTGCTGTTTCATTGGCGTGAGTACTTTTTACAGATCAAATGATCACGTGTGAGTTAGCAGTGCACTTGCAGAAGTGCGATTAAGTGTTCATTGTACCGAATATTGATATGAACCTGAGTTGCATATACATACCGTATTTTTGCGCGTATAACCCGCCCCTGCATATAATCCACACCCCCACTTTCAGCTCACCGAGAAAGAAAAAAAAAAAAATCCTCGCGTATTGCCCGCACATTTGATATACAGGAAAGGCTGTACAAAAGCTACTGCTCAAGCAACATAGCACATATGTAGACAGAAAAAGCTTTTTTTAGCCGTCTTCCCACTTCGCGATTTCCAAATTTGATATGCACATTTGATATACAGGAAAGGCTGTACAAAAGCTACTGCTCATGCAACATAGCACATATGTAGACAGAAAAAGCTTGATTTAGCAATCAGAATACGCTGTCTGCAAGGCCAGTCACAATTCGCTCACTCACTGTCGCTGCTCTCTCTAGAGCTATCACTTGAGCCGCAGTCCTCACTATTATGCACAAGGTCATCTTCGGTTCCATCCATGTTGTTTGTGATGCAGCATTTCTTGAAACTTTTTCGCACCATCTCACCTGGATTGGCCTTCCATGCCTCGACAATCCACTTGCAGAATAGGGCAATATCAGGCCTTCGGACTCGTCCCGTCAACGTCAAGTCGTAGCAGCCTTCGGCCATCCACTCGGCGTAATAGCGCTTGACATGCGCTTTGAAGGGCTTGTTAAGCGACACATCTAGAGGCTGCAACATTGACGTCATTCCACCGGGTATAACAGCTAAGTCGGTGCCGTTGCGTGAAAGGCGGTCCTTCACTTCCTCAGTTGTGTGGCCGCGGAACAAGTCAAGAACGAGCATGGACCTCTTTGCGAGCATCGCACCGGGCCTCTTCTCCCATACCGTCTTGATCCAGTCTACACGAACAAGTCACTGTTCATCCACACGTTCTCTTCAAATGAACCTTTGGTAGAGTTTTCCTTTTCAAGATGACGTACGGTCGCAGTTGCGTGCCGTCGGCGAGGGCACAAAGCAAGACTGTTATGCGCAGTTTCGTGTTCCCGCCGGTCAGCAAGCTCACCGAACTGCTGCCCGTCTTCTCAATTGTTGTGTCCAACGACATTTCAAAAGAAACAGGAGTTTCATCCGCTTACCGATTTGCAAGAAAATGTAATTGTGCTGCTTTCGCAGGTCAATTACATATCTCTGGTACTTGAGCAGCTTCTCCTCATAACAAGCCGGCAAGCGTTGACATATTGTAGTCCGCCGTCTGATTGAGAGCCCTTGCCGCTTCATAAAGCGGTGCAGCCATCCACGGCTAGCACGGAACTCGTGAGGTAGGCCTAGCTCCCTCGAAAGTCGCCGCGCTTCCACTTGGGCCATCTCGGTCGATATGGCGTGACACCTGCTTCTCACATCTTCGATGAACTTTACTAGCTCTGCCTCCAGCTCAGGGTAGGCACCGGTCTTGGGGCCACGAAATGACCTACGGTCGCGGTGCGCGGCTTGTAGGCTCTCTTTCTTCTTTCTCCACAGTCGCATGCAGGACTCTTCCACATGGTGCCGTCTTCCCGCTTCGCGATTTCCAAATTCCTCGGCGATGATCTTAAGCTTTTGCCGTGCGGTGAAGGCCTGCCGCCGTACGCTACTCATAGTGACAGAACAGATCGACTTAGGCTTGACGAACGGGTCGAGATGTGGAGGACTAGCGGTATCAGCGAGGTAAAGAGCGCTCAGACTCGGCGACAACTTGACAGCACTATCCCTTCTAGTACACTGTAACAGCACCCTGGAAACAACAGAACCGAAATGCATGCCTGCTACTGCGGCAAAAAGTAGTACATTAATTTACTGATAATATCTCTATAGGCACTATAACATCTCATTTGCCTTGCTGAAATAAATACTGCTTTATTTATTAGGAACTTACTTTATTATTATGGAACTTTCTTAGACAGCACCTCCTTTTCGGCAAGCCCTTTCCAAAAGTAAACATGGCGTTCGTGACGTAGGGACATGTGGAGGGTCACTGAGCGGCCACGAACGTCCAAAAAATATACTTGTGATGTGACAGTGAGATTTTACACTGACAATCGAATTGTCTCTTCCCAAATGTTTTTCTAAACGCTTCAACGATGCAAGCAAGCGAATAAAAATCAGCCGCAAGCTGTCGTGCTACTTGCGGAGCAACACGAATTTGCGGAAACCGCCTCCGTAGCCTTCGCTACCATGTTAAGGGGCTTCACAGCACAACACGCATTGCTGTGAAGCAGCACTATAGGAAAAACCCTCGCATATTATCCGCACCTCACTTTGCCACTGAAATTTTTGGGTTTTGGTGCGGATTATACGCGCGAAGTACGGATATAGTTGACACTTTCTTCATACAGTTTTCCAGTAGCATGTCACAATTGGGCATAGTGAACAGCTTGAAGTATCTGGGTTCGATAGATCCAGGTGTATCCTCTGCGAGAGCCTGCTGTTGTTACAGCAACTAAGTCGGAGTAATTGTCTTTTGCTGATTCTTTTCTCTTTGCCCTTATCACTGACTCCACCGCGTCTTCGTGCAGGAGATGTGGGTGGACAAGTACAAGCCGCAGACAACCAAGCAGATCATAGGCCAGCAGGGAGACAAGAGCAACTGCGGCAAGTTGCTGCTGTGGTTGCGCAACTGGCACAAGAGTCGTCTGGGACCCAAGAAGCCAATACGTGAGTGGCATTTTCTTGAGTTCCATCAGCCCCCCCCCCCCCCCCCGGCCTTTCTTTTTGTCAGTGCACTTGAACCCTGTTACAACAATGTTGAAGGGGGAATTAGAGTTACCTTGTTGTATCTGTTACTTTCTTATATATATTATACGAACAAGTCACTGTTCATCCACACGTTCTCTTCAAATGAACCTTTGGTAGAGTTTTCCTTTTCAAGATGACGTACGGTCGCAGTTGCGTGCCGTCGGCGAGGGCACAAAGCAAGATGTTATGCGCAGTTTCGTGTTCCCGCCGGTCAGCAAGCTCACCGAACTGCTGCCCGTCTTCTCAATTGTTGTGTCCAACGACATTTCAAAGAAACAGGAGTTTCATCCGCTTACCGATTTGCAAGAAAATGTAATTGTGCTGCTTTCGCAGGTCAATTACATATCTCTGGTACTTGAGCAGCTTCTCCTCATAACAAGCCGGCAAGCGTTGACATATTGTAGTCCGCCGTCTGATGAGAGCCCTGCCGCTTCATAAAGCGGTGCAGCCATCCACGGCTAGCACGGAACTCGTGAGGTAGGCCTAGCTCCCTCGAAAGTCGCCGCGCTTCCACTTGGGCCATCTCGGTCGATATGGCGTGACACCTGCTTCTCACATCTCGATGAACTTTACTAGCTCTGCCTCCAGCTCAGGGTAGGCACCGGTCTCTGGGGCCACGAAATGACCTCCGGTCGCGGTGCGCGGCTTGTAGGCTCTCTTTCTTTCTTTCTCCACAGTCGCATGCAGGACTCTTCCACATGGTGCCGTCTTCCCGCTTCGCGATTTCCAAATTCCTCGGCGATGATCTTAAGCTTTTGCCGTGCGGTGAAGGCCTGCCGCCGTACGCTACTCATAGTGACAGAACAGATCGACTTAGGCTTGACGAACGGGTCGAGATGTGGAGGACTAGCGGTATCAGCGAGGTAAAGAGCGCTCAGACTCGGCGACAACTTGACAGCACTATCCCTTCTAGTACACTGTAACAGCACCCTGGAAACAACAGAACCGAAATGCATGCCTGCTACTGCGGCAAAAAGTAGTACATTAATTTACTGATAATATCTCTATAGGCACTATAACATCTCATTTGCCTTGCTGAAATAAATACTGCTTTATTTATTATGGAACTTACTTTATTTATTATGGAACTTTCTTAGACAGCACCTCCTTTTCGGCAAGCCCTTTCCAAAAGTAAACATGGCGTTCGTGACGTAGGGACATGTGGAGGGTCACTGAGCGGCCACGAACGTCCAAAAAATATACTTGTGATGTGACAGTGAGATTTTACACTGAACAATCGAATTGTCTCTTCCCAAATGTTTTTCTAAACGCTTCAACGATGCAAGCAAGCGAAATAAAAATCAGCCGCAAGCTGTCGTGCTACTTGCGGAGCAACACGAATTTGCGGAAACCGCCTCCGTAGCCTTCGCTACAATGTTAAGGGGCTTCACAGCACAACACGCATTGCTGTGAAGCAGCACTATAGGAAAAACCCTCGCATATTATCCGCACCTCCACTTTGCCACTGAAATTTTTGGGTTTTTGGTGCGGATTATACGCGCGAAAGTACGGATATAGTTGACACTTTCTTCATACAGTTTCCAGTAGCATGTCACAATTGGGCATAGTGAACAGCTTGAAGTATCTGGGTTCGATAGATCCAGGTGTATCCTCTGCGAGAGCCTGCTGTTGTTACAGCAACTAAGTCGGAGTAATTGTCTTTTGCTGATTCTTTTCTCTTTGCCCTTATCACTGACTCCACCGCGTCTTCGTGCAGGAGATGTGGGTGGACAAGTACAAGCCGCAGACAACCAAGCAGATCATAGGCCAGCAGGGAGACAAGAGCAACTGCGGCAAGTTGCTGCTGTGGTTGCGCAACTGGCACAAGAGTCGTCTGGGACCCAAGAAGCCAATACGTGAGTGGCATTTTCTTGAGTTCCCTCTGCCCCCCCCCCCCCCCCCCCCCGACCTTTTTTTTTTGTCAGTGCAACTTGAACCCTGTTACAACAATGTTGAAGGGGGAATTGGAGTTACCTTGTTGTATCTGTTACTTTCTTATATATATTATTGTCCATTACTTCAATACATGCACACTGGGGGTGCACAATTTCAAACATGCAAAGAAGGAGATGTATATGTGTGACCCCCAAAACTTGTGCTGCTGCCCGAGCGTGCTGCCCGAGTGTGCTGCTCCTACTCTCCAGGCTGTGTGTTTTAGCACTACCGTCGCTAAGTGAAATCTTTCGAGTAGCATGCGTGGTCGTGTTTACTCTTATGTTCTCTGTCGTGCCTAACGTGTTCTTCTGGTCACTGCGGTTTTCGTATATATGTTCTTCTGTCTGGTGACCTATGTCCGTGTTTGCCGTGAGTGTGTTCGTGTTTTTAGCCCCCATAAAATGCAGAAGTTGGATAAGTAGCTTGTTGCGTCATTGCTGCAATAACTAGCTTTTTGGATGCGATGCGTCGCTGTGGGGCTCTAGCAATTTCACATGAAAAGGCGGCAATAGAATGATGTGGAGCGCATTCCGTGTTGTCCACTATTAAAAGGATGCTTATGGTACGGTGCTACGCTTGTACGTACTACCTTAAGCGCGCATGTGATGAGATAGGCAGTGTGGCGAGGTTTTTCGTTACCCGAACCGCACTTTTGAAGATACTCCTGGCTCCTGGATATTTTGAACTTCAAAAGTGTACCGCCAGGGTTCTCATAAGGCTAATGCATTTTTCGACCGATTTTTCGGACGAATTCACCCCCTAAAGTTGGATTTTTCGGACTAAATCACTTGTTTTGAGCCGTGCCACGAACCTGTATGGATGCCGCCATGTTGGATTTTCTGCCGGCTTGACTAAGCTTAGTGGCTTAACTTTAAAATGGCTTTCCTGCTTCCAAGATTGGAAAGCAAATGTCATATTTTAAGTTTGGGAGGCCGTGTCTGCTTTAGAAAACGCGGCACGGGACCATTTTCTCGTCTTCGGTCAGCCGTAGTGGTGAGCACTGTCGTTATTGCATCGTACAAGGAGGCGGAGCTGCGCAGTAGTGGAGTGAATGTGCCTGCCACAATGACATTAGGGAGTTTTGGAACAGCGCATTGCGAGCCCTTGCGGTGCGGTCGCTGCCACTGCGCATGCGTCGTAACGCGAGTCCCCGTTCGCGGCCTGCGCGCAGAAAATCCGAAATAGTGTGCGGCGATCGCAGCCCGCGAAGTGTTGTGTATAGCTTCGATGCACTTCGTGCGCGGAGCCCACAGATGAAGAAATTTTTCGCCAGGTTGGGCCACAGCTAGAGAGCGGTTCGAATGATGACAATGATGATGCCCCGCAGCTGTCGGCAGCGGAGATCGCCTCCGCGGTGACGCTTTTTGTCAAACATTTACGGTGACGATGTCATATTGGCGCAAATATAAGTGAACCAAATCGCTTCCAAGTGTAGTTCGAGGCAAGGCAGAATCATGGACTTTTTTAAGCCTGCCTGATGCAATAAAGTTCATAGTTCTGACAAAAACAAATTTTTCGGCCTTTTTTTTTTTGTTCCCGCCAGGTCCGAGAAAACGGTCGGCGACTGTATAGTGAGCACAGATTTAACAAAAATATCCATTATAGCTAAGTAAATGAAATATATTCTTGCAATAGTATGCAGTCTTAGGAATGAATTACTTTTATAAGGAATATTTGCCTTTAGCAAACTTATTTTCAACTTTGTTCTAAAGTGGCCTATATGCACTGTTAAGTAGAGTTGCTCTTTTAGTGTTACTACACGTGAGTGATCGCGAGTGATCAAACAAGAATGTGGTCCTTTCCTGCACTCATGGGAAATGCGGCATTGTGCATTGTGCAGCCAAGTGGGGAGGAGGTGGAGGCGACGGGTCCGCTTTCAAGGCAGCGCTGCTGTCCGGAGCTCCTGGCATCGGCAAGACCACCACGGCTACACTCGCAGCACGGGTAAGGCTGCTGTAGTGTGACGGTAAAGCCTCCAACTCGTTTTTTAGTGGCACTGAGTGACACGCTTATTTCACTTCCAAGCATATCCCACCGAGCATTTCGGGTTCTCTGAATATTCATAAAGGCCCCCAAAAATATAAATTGATGGTTCCAGCTCTAGTCGAGAGTTTTATTACATGCATACGAAGTCTTAGCATAACTCCACTTGAGGTAAAGGCCGAATAACTGACTGAATAATTGGTGAAGATTAATTGACCGAGTTCTTTGAAAGATTGTGAGCACCTACGATCATTGCAGCAAGTGGTGAAGTGGATCTTGCCCTCACGCTTTTTCCTATGTTGCCTTCGAGATTAGCTTTGGCAGCATGCGAAACACGTAGTTAACCGAAGGAGTACACCTGGGTGCACGGGCGCCGATGTGCAAGTGCCACTACTGCACACTTAAGTCAAAGATTCAGGTTGCCTACAGATGTTTTTCGCGGTATCACTTGGTCACAGGTGTTAACCATGCCACTCAGCTTCTTAGATGCTCTGTATGCAACACACCTAAGTGCCATGAACATACACGCATCTGGACATTGGCAATTCTGTATGTGCAAGTCTAATAGCAGTTCAAAATGCTCCATATTTTTTCAAGTTCTCACCTTCACAAGAGCTTTTGAAAACTTGAGTTGTTTGGTGAGTGAACTGCATCCACCATGCAGTGTGTGCCATTATACTCTGCATGTGTCTAACAATAAGGTTGTTTGGATATGCTTTCATTGCTTTTCTTGTGAACAGATCCTTGTTAAGCGAAACCTGAAGGGACCAGTAGAATATGTTTCTTAACAGAAGTATCATTTACTGAGAACTGAACAGGGGTGCATATTTCAAGTCCTGAACCAATCAGGACTTCAAGGCAGTTCTATTTAGTAGTAATTCCCTTCAGTGAGAGATTTTCATCAACTGAGAGTCTACTTTACACCATAATAAGAGGTCAGTACTCAATACATAGTACAGTTTATTTTGTCCAACTCCTAATCTGCGCTGCGCTGCTGGTTGTGACATGACGTGACTGCAAACGGACATTGGCCTGTGTTGGTACGCAGGAAGCTGGCTACAGCATCTTGGAGATGAATGCATCAGGACACTCGTTCCAAGAAGAGTCTTGCCGAGCACGTAGCTGAGACCCTGAAGAACCGCACTTTTACAGGTGAGTCTTGCAAACGCTTTTCCGACTGAACAAAGTCAGAGGATTCAGTCGAGCTTATCTTTTCGAAATACTGTCCGCGTTATAGCATGTACAAAGCGTGTTTCTGACTAAGATCTTGATTTGGAAATTGAGGCGTATCTGGAAAACTGAATAAAGTGTTCCTGAGTACACTGTATGTGAAATCTTGATGTGCGAAAATATAAAAAAAAGGAAAAAATAAAAGGTCTTGCATACATCTGCTAAAAGCGTTAATTTAAAAACATGAATTACCTTGTTTTTCTCTGTAGCATACTGTTACTGTTAGCACTGCATAGAAACGTGTTTCTGTCAAACAGTGTCAACCATTTTTTTTTTCAGAATCTGGTACAACATCCAAACACGTGCTCATCATGGATGAAGTGGATGGCATGGCGGGCAACGAGGACAGAGGTGGAGTTCAGGCAAGTTCCAGCACTTCTTTATGTAGCTCATGAAGAATCTGTTGAAATTCAGTGCTCTTATACTAGTGTTATGCAGGTATCTTTGAATGGAATCTTCTTCCAGATCATGATTTTAGGCTTGTGAGAATAGTGTATTTCAGATTTGAAGTGAATTCGAAGTGAATAGTGATTTTGGTCAAATAATTTCGAATCAAATTCAAATAGTATATATTGTCACATGATTACAGAAAGACCACAACGTCTGTTCACAGGAGCAGTAGCACTGGATGTCGAGCCGAACCGAACGTTAGACCACGAGCACACCAAACAGTCCTCTTCTTTTTCACGAAATAGAACATACTCACATTAGCATGGCTCAACCTCGTTCCATGCCAGTGGCATTACCCCCTTTCCAAAAAAAAAGTACCACCGTGATGCTCAACGCTGATTAAAAGTTAAAGTAATCGCGTACACGCACAAAGACGCATGATGAAGCAGTGTCAGGTGGCTCAGGTGTAGTGTGGCTTCATCCGTGACACATGAACAATGTCCGCCTGCTGGGAACATCGAGATCGCCGAGCTGTGTCTTCAAGCAGGACTTCGTAGTTGACATCTGTGAGGCACCGTAGTACTATATAAGGACCGAAGTTGCGATGAAGTAACTTTTCCGAGCGGCCCCTTTGGCAAACGGGGATCTACAGCCACACCAGATCACCGGGTTGGTAAATAACATGGCGATGACGGGAGTTGTACCTCTGCGAGTCAATGCGTTGTTGTTTTCGGATCCGTTCGAGTGCAAGCTGGTGGGCCGCGTCGGCGAGCCGGATGAAGTTGTTCGCATCAGTAGGAATATCGGTCATTTCAGGCAAGAGCATGGCATCCAGCATCGTAATTGCTTCTCGGCCGTGAAGCAACCGGAAAGGAGTGAAACCCCTAGTCTCTTGAACCGCAGTGTTATAAGCGAACGTTACGTATGGCTAAATTTCATCCCAGTTTTTGTGATCGCGGTCGACGTACATAGATTGCATGTCAGCGAGCGTCTTGTTTAATCTCTCCGTCAGACCATTGGTTTGTAGATGGTATGCGGTCGTTTTGCAATGAGCTGTTCCACTAAGTCTCGTGACGTCTTGCATCAATTGGGCTGTAAATTGCATCAATTGGGCTGTCTTGCATCAATTGGGCTGTATCACGGTCAGTGATAAGAACTGTTGGCACTCCATGGCGAAGAACGATGTTGTTGATGAAAAACTACGAAATCTCATTGGCGGTGCCTCGTTGTAGAGCTTTCGTTTCCCAGTACCTTGTTAAATAGTCAGTAGCGACTACGATCCAGTGGTTGCCATCATGTAACTTCGGGAAAGGCCCAAGCAAGTCCATGCCGATTCATTCAAACAGTTGTGACGGGGGTGCAACAGGCTGCAATAAACCAGCAGGGTGCACAGGTGGGGCTTTACGGCGCTGGCAATGATTACACATTTTAACGTAATGCTTGGAATCCTTCGTGAGCTTTGGCCAGTAGTAGCGAGTCCGAATCCGGGCAAAGGTACTTTCGAATTCTAGGTGGCCGGAGGAAGGCTCGTCGTGGCAGGCAGATAAAATATCAGCACGTAGCCCTGGTGGAACAGCGAGGAGGTATTCAATCGCATGAGGTTCGAAGTTCTTTTTGTAGACGATGTCGTTGTGGAGTCAAAATGACCCTGAACGTGCGAATGCCGATGGTGGACTTGAGCTGTGACCTTAAAGGTATTTGGTAAGTTGTCGTATCTCTGAATCATTCCACTGTTGTTGGGCCAAGTCAGATTCACTGACTGCACAAATAAAATGGCCATCGGTATCATCATCGCTCGATGTCATCGCGAAGGGAGCGCGCGAAAGGCAATCAAAATCTGTGTGCCTGCGGCCCGACTTGTAAACGACTGCAACCTCAAATTCTTGAAGGCGCAAGCTCCACTTCGCGAGGCGCCCTGAAGGGTCCTTGAGATTGGCCAGCTAATAGAGGGCATGATCGTCCGTAACTACTCTGAATAGATGGCCATACAGATACGGTCGGAACTTCGATATTGCTCAAATAACAGCAAGGCATTCCTTCTTCGTGGTCGAGTAGTTAGTTTGCGAAGATGACAGAATGCGACTAGCATAAGCGATGAGCCGCTCAGGGACGTCTTGCCACTGGACGAGCACCGCGCCAAGACCGATGTTGCTTGCGTCAGTGTGAAGTTCGGTGGCGGCATCTTCATCAAAGTGCCCTAGTAAGGGTTCACTCTGAAGGCGCTGTTGAAGCTTGGAAAACGTGGCTCTCTGCTCTGGACCCCATACAAAAAGAGTATCCTCTTTCATTAAGCGGGTAAGGGGTTCAGCGATGTTATCAATGCTCTGGACAAAGCGCCCGTAGTAGGCGCAGAGACCCAAAAATCTGCACAAATCTCATTTGTTCGAAGGTGGAGGAAATGCAGCAACGGCCATGGTCTTTTCTGGGTCTGGTCAAATGCCATCGTGACTGACAAGGTGGCCGAGGAAGTTTAGTTCTTCGTAGCCGAAATGACACTTCTCCGGTTTTAGCGATAGGCCTGCGGATCGAATAGCGACGAACACGGACTGAAGTCGTTGTAAATGTTGCTCTAATGTTTTGGAAAAAACAACGACGTTGTTTAAATAGACGAAGCAAGATTCCCACTTCAGACCGTACAGTACGGTGTCTATCATCCTTTAGAAGGTTGCCGTTGCAGAGCACAATCCAAATGGTAACACTTTGAACTCGTAAAGGCCATCGGGAGTTATGAACGCTGTTTTTTCCCTGGCGCGTTCATCGACCTCGATCTGCCAGTAGCCGCTGCAGAAATCCATTGATGAAAAGTATCGGGCATGTCGAAGTTGATCTAGTGAGTCATCTATGCGTGGGAGAGGGTAGACGTCTTTCTTCGTCACATTGTTGAGCTTCCGGTAATCGACGCAAAATCGAAGAGTGCCGTCTTTCTTTTCAACAAGTACGACGGGCGACGCCCATGGACTGTTCGAGGGTTAAATGACGTCGTCGTCGAGCATCTGTTTCACCTGAAAATGAATTGCCTCTTGTTCTTTTTGCGACACGCGGTAGGCGTGCTGTTGTACAGGCCGTTCGGTAGGGTGCGTTATAATGTGGTGCTTCACGGTTGGGGTCTGCTTGATTTTGGAGGTGGACGCAAAGCAGTCACTATACGTACGTAAAATCACGCGCATCTGCTGCTGCTGCGCAGAGGATAGCTGGCAATTCAGTCAACTGTACTGGCTAATGCAGTGTCACCTTTGGCAGCAGTGGCAATCGGAGCGATAGTGGAGCATTCTTCGTCATCAATGGCTTCAAAGTTCGCGATCGCTGTTCGCTTTGCCAAGTGTTGGTACTGCCGCCGAAATTCGTGATCAGAAGCTGAGTCCTCCGATGTTTCAGTTGGAAATCTGCCGAGCCAAGAGCAGTGAGAGGTTAGTTTCCGCGATGCCACTACTCTTGTTGTCACAGTCACTCTCCACAGTTACCAACATACTGGCTCGCGGCGAAAGTGCAATGGTGTCGTCAGCAATTGAAAGTGTTGTGGTCTGTGCAACTGCATCCTTTTGTCTGGCTGTGTGGTCGTTAGAGAACGTTATGAGCAGGTCGCGAAGGTTAATAACGGCTCCATGCTCGCGGAGGAAATCCATTCCAAGAATTAGGTTTTGGGAACATTCACGAAATACGACGAAGGAAGCAATGTATGTCGACTCACGAATTCGGAGCCGGGCAGTGCATATTCCCAGCGGTGTGAATAGGTTACCTCCCGCAGTACGGAGGTTGGGTCCATGTCCCCAAGGTGCCGTTACCTTTCTTAGCTGTGCAGCGAGGTCAGTGCTTATCACGGAATAATCGGCACCCGCATCAACCAGAGCGGTTAGCAGGTGGTTGTAGACAAGGACGGAGATGCGAGCAGAGACACGTTTGTCGTCGATGGCACACGCCGGTGAAAGGATGTCGTCGGATGTCAGCAGGCAGTTCGGGGGAGGGTCTTGTAACGGTTGATCAACAGCGGCCTCACCCCGAGAGGTCGCTGTTCTTAGTTTCCTCGACGCGGGCTTGTGGATCTAGGCGATCTTCCTGCAGGGACGTCCGCAAAGGTCGATTGTTGGCCAGGTGACGTGGAGCGCCATGGAGATGGTGAGTGGGAATTGGCGACGCAGAAGGGTGGGATCTGCTGGCTTGCCAAGTATTCAGCGATAGCACGGGGCCGCTCACCATCTTTCGAAAGCCAGAAAGACCCATGTGCCTGTATGCGCACTCACGGTAGATGTGACCTGGTTCACCACAGTGATAACAGAGAGGCCGGTTGTCGGGAGCACGCCATACAGTGGATTTCCGTGTAAGTGGTAAGTTGCCGTACTGCCGTGGTCCTGAGTAAAATGACGGCGCCGCCTGCAGCGTGGACGGACGGGACGGATAGCCAACAGCCGATGCAGGAGTACGTAATGCTTCCATGTACGTTAATAGCAGAGCTTCGGCTGGACGGGGGCTGTCATGGGTTGGACCTCGGCTGGACGAAAAGTCGTCATGAGGTGCACCAGCTGCCGGACCTCTTCGCGAAGGGCATCCGTTAGAGCAACAACATGGGGCTGAGAAGACACCGCGTGCAGCTTTTGCAGCTCCTCGCGCACAATACTGCGCACGAGCTCCGTCAGGTTTCTTATAGTCGTGACGTCAGATGTTGGCAGGGCCGATGACACTGACGAAATACTGCCAGGATGCTCATACTGATACCAACGCTGCCTTAGCATTCTCTCCATCGTCGTGGTCTCGCGGAGGAAATCCTCTACAGTGCTGGGAGGGTTGCGCACTAGTCCAGTGGACAACTGCTCTTTCACTCCCTGCATCAGGAGGCGCACCTTCCTCTCTTCCGTCATTGAGGAGTCAGCTCGCTTGAACAGCCGCGACATGTCCTCAACGAACATGGCAACATTCTCGTTCGGACGCTGATTTCAGGGATTGAGGAGCCTTTCTGCTTGCTCTTTTCGGTCAGAGCTTCGGAAGGTATTCCACAACTGGTTGCAAAACTCTGGCCAGGTTGTCATGGCAGCTTCATGGTTTTCGAACCAAGTGCGCGCAGAGTCGTCGAGGTAAAAGTAGACATACCGAAGCTTTCGCTGCTCGTTCCACTCATTGATGCTGGCGCAACGGTTGTAGTCGTCAAGCCAGTCGTCGACGTCCTCGTAGGGGTCACCGTAGAACGGCTTCCGGGTTCGCGGGGTGATGAAGAACCCTGGAGGAGGCAGCATCGATGTCTCTAGGGTTTGTGTTCTCACACTAGTTCTAGTACTGCCGAGTTGTAGAAGCGGTCCGAATTCAGGTGGTAGGCCTAGTTGTCGCCTGCTACGCCCTAGGTAGGCTGGTTCTTCCAAGTCGCGACTAGTGTCGGGATCTTGCTGCTGATTGCAGTGCATACAACACTACCCCGCACCTCCACCAGAAAATGTCACGTGATTACAAAAAGACCACAACGTCTTTTCACAGGAGCAGCAGCACTGGACGTCGAGCCAAACCACGTTAGACTGTGAGCACACCAAATAGTCCTCTTCTTTTTCACAAAATGGCACATACTCGCATTGGCATGGCTCAACCTCGTTCTATGCCTGTGGCAATATTATATATTATGAAGAAAAAGGGCATATTTGTTGTGACACAACTGAAGTGCACAATATTTTTATAGAACTAAAGCAAGGCCTTTGCAAATGCCCTTTTTTTTTTTTTTTCAAGGAAAGTGAGAACAATTTTGAATAGAAGCAAGATTCGATTTTCAGTAGAATGCAATAATAACCTGTAAAGTATTTTAAGTTTCATAATTTACTATACTTATAGCTTATTTACTATACTTATAGCATATACACCAGTGTAGCTAGCTTTTAATCTTGAAAATGACAAATCGATCTGAGGGTAATATTGTAGTGATGCAGAGGCATCGCTAGAATATTACCTTCACATCACTCAATATTACCCTCACAGTGGGCCTATCTCTGTCGCGGCAATATGTTCGTTACCTTGAAGCACCCCTTCACTGCAGTGAAACTATTTCTACAGGAGGGTTGCATGCTAATTGACATAAACCTAAATAGGTGCTTTTACGGCCTGACACGTCTCTCTTGCAGTGAAACCACCTTTACAAAGGGTTACATTTGGACTAATATGGACCTATTCGTTAATTTCGAATAATTCGAAATTTCCAACAAAATTAATTCAAATTCAAGTAAATTTGAATGCTATTCATTTGAATATTTGATGCATTTAAATATTTACATGAGTACATGATTTGACTGATATCTGTTTCAAACTCAAGCCAGATTAGTTTGGGGTTTGTACCTGTTATCATTGTTCATTGCAGTCAAGAAATCCAATTTGGATTGGCCCCGATCGCAATCAAAAGCATTTGTATGACACTGGTGTTACTGTAGACAGTACTGGTTAAGAGAGTCTTTTATCGATAAGGTCTCTACTCAGTTTACATTTATTCCTACAGAGATTTTGCTCTTTCATTCTGCCTCATTTGTCCTAAATGTGCTAGCACATGTAACACTGAGTCGTAGCTTTTGGTATGTGACCTGCATCTTAAGTTTCATGACTTTGTTAAGTACAGATTTGTAACGAGAGCTTCGATGTGAGCGTTGCCTTCGGCTTCTGCTTCACAGCAATACACTCTTTCCTGCCATGAAGCCAGACTGTGGGGCAGTGGGCTGAAGGAGGCAGTGATTGCACGTGTAAAGGAAACTTACTTCTGTAGCTCTATTTTGTGCCAAAAATGATAGGAATTGTTTTTATAATATTTCCCTATTGATGACGTGGTGCGCTTATTCATACATTGGTTTTCCTCCTACAAGTTGTGGCTGTGAGGACATATTTTAGTCTTAAAGCTACAAGCTAACCCATAACAGTGGCTTGTGTGAGTGATCAGATCAACTTATCAGAGAAGTAGTTAACCGCTGCATCATATTACAAAATCAATGCTATATTATTCTGTAATTGTAATATCTATTATGGTGTACACTTTTTTTTAAGGGGAGATGCGGGTCGAAAAATGCGAGTTTTTTTTTTCAAAATTACCAATTTTTTATTTTTGTCCGTTTTCATAAGATCAGTACCTCTACTGTTATGAAAAAAAAAAAATACAGGTCGTCAATTAACTGGAAATGCTTCAAAATTGCATCTAAAAAGCACAAGGTGCCTGTTAAAAGGTCTGAAGTGTGCAGATCACCTTTGCGCCAATAATGCGCCGCCGCTCGCCATTGTTGATCGCATGAACCGAAGAGTCGAGCCTCACTCTTCAAATAACAACAGTTTCCCTCACTGATGCAGTACAAGAAATAATAAAGTGAAGCACGCTTCTGCGCTCGTTTTTTGAGTGCCGCGACTGGCTCATCACATGGTACGGATCGGGAGACCGCCATTGGCCGCTGCGCGCCTGTATGTGCTGTGACGCCTATTTGCGGGGTCCATGTCTTGTCGAGCAGCGCAGCTGAACAATGCTTTTCTCGTGTAATTGTCTCCGTTATGAATGAAAAAAGCCATTGCTCGCAAGTGAAAGCTGTTGTGCGGCGCGCTCTGTAGGAATAGGCTACGAGCAGCTGGTCCGTTTGCGGCAGTTGTTGGCTTGCAAAAGCCAATGCATCAAAAGTCATTAGCACCCATCAGCCGAAAAGTTCATGATGTGGCAGTGGATGACGTCAGCTCCAATCTTGTGAGGTCGAAAGAGCTCGCAGTGAGGGAACTTAGCAGAGACATCATTGCCATTGTGTACGACGGTATGTGGCACAAACATGGCCGCAAAATGGCATGACACTGGACTTAGTTTGGATTTCGCAGTCCTGTCGAACTTCTTTCTAGCTGGCAGTTGGCACATGCCTCTGCCAGATGGAGCCGAAGTTTGGCAAGTGTTTCATGGCCCTGTCTGTGAGGGAAATGTCTGTGAGGATTCGGCTCGAAAAAACCGAGAGGGACAAACTTATGGTGCTGGCGTATTTTAGTGGCAGTGGCCACTACAAGAAGGATTGTTCTTTTTGGTTGTCAAATTTCATCAGATGTAATGATGTCTTTCATAAATAAAAACTCAATTTTAACTTTAAAACTCGTTTTCCACAAAACACAAATTTTGCCATTTTTTTTTCGTTGTCCCCCTCCTTTTTCGGGCACTTCTAATGCTCGGATCTGCATGAAATTTTGCCCAAATATTCTCCAAAGTATGACAAATGTCATACTTTGGAGAATATTTGGGCAAAATTTTCTAGTTCTAGTTTAAGTTTCAAATTCTAGTTTAAGTTTCAATGTTTTATTGTATACTGAAATAATTGTATGTAAACATTTACTAGGGTAGGTGAAATATGGACTTTTTAAGTCCATTATTTTTCATGCCTATTACATATTTTGTATGTGCTTCCTAATTAGTTATTTGCATTCTACACTTTATTTCATACATTATGAACTATGAATGTTAAAAATTACGGAAGTTCAGGGATGAAAAGAGGGGGGCAAAAGGGTTAAGGTTTTCACTTTGTCATGTTGCAGAGCTAAAAGTATGCAACTTGCAACAAAACTAATTATATTTTTGAAATCAGCATAAAACGTTCCATAAACAGCTCAAGTTTCATTGCTCTAGGGTGAATATTTAAAAAAAAGTGTGTTCGAGTAGCATCTCCCCTTAATGCCCTTATCACTATTTATGACACTGTGTGACGGCTGTTCAAGAGATTTATGAACTTGAATATCAGATTGCTAATAAAATTTTTTGCTTATGCATCGTTTTTTTTTTTTTTCTTTTCAGGAAATGATTGCTCTGATAAAGTCCACGCGGATCCCCATCATCTGCATCTGCAATGATCGCTCGCACCCGAAGATGCGTTCCTTGGTGAACTATTGTTTTGACTTGCGATTTCAGCGGCCGCAAGTCAAGCAAATTCAGGTGGGAAAATTTTTTCTCGTAAGAAGTCAAAGTATTCAAAACAAATAGCTTCGTTTGTCTCTTTTGCTCATTCTTGTGGTCTGGGCACTTCCTTATCCAACGCAAAAAGCGTGTACTTTTGCGCAGCGTAGCGATCAACACATTGTCATTTTCCGGCTGATTCTTTGTGATGCACGTGCTGTTGCATGACAGCTTTTTTGTGTTCGAGAGTTTCAAAGTTTGTCGTAAATGGCGGTGTGCTGTACCGTACTTCTCTGCCTCATGGGTGATGTTTGCATGATGTGGTTGCAGTACTGTGCTGCCCTGTATGCTATACTATATCATTTTGTAGGCTCACCATAGCATTCCTTAGACTGATTGCCACAGTACAAGGGAGCTGTACAATACTGAAGCGAATAGTGAGGGGAATGTGACTCGTATGCAAATGCAACACTTTACAAGTGTGTTCTATCAATTTAGCTAAATAATTTCTGTTGGTCATATTAGTACTGCTCATTCAACTCAAGGTATGGCATATCTCCTGGAAATTTTTAAGTGTGAATACACTTTATAAGCGACCCCAAACCATCCACCGGCGTCGGCGGCGTCCGCAGTCTTCTCTCTATCTTTAAAAGAAAGAGGACTTGGCGGGCCGCAGCGCGACGCTCTACCGAATAAGCCACGGACGCGACGCTGATATCGGTGTCAGTAACGCGCCTTATATCTTTAACGCCGCTGCGCGCGTCCCCCTCCCCCTTCGCTCGCTGCAGCTGCGCGCGCACCCCTCTCTCTCGCGCGCCCGCCTTCTCTCTCAGTCTCCCGTCGAGAGCAGGTCGTGCGATGGATGTCCCGGAGGCAACGCTACCATCAACAACGAATGCAGTACAACCGAATGCCAGCACTGCACCCGTCGTTGGAGGTGACGGTACCGCGGTGGTTTCGCCGACGTTGGAAGACTAGGCGGCGCTGCGAAGGGCTCGTGAGACCGAACGTAAGCGGGCGAAGCGTGCAGCGGATGCCGAACTGCGTGCTCGCGAGGCCGAGTGCAAGCGGGCGAAGCGTGCAGCGGATGCCGAACTGCGTGCTCGCGAGGCCGAGTGCAAGCGGGCGAAGCGTGCGCGCATGCCGAACTGCGCGCTCGCGAGCCCGAGGACAAGCGGGCGAAGCGTGCAGCAGATGCCGAACTTCGCGCTCGCGAGGCCGAGGACACGCGGGCGAAGCGTGCAGCGGATGGTGAACTGCGCGCTCGCGATGCCAAGATGAGGCGTCAGCATCGAGCCGCGAACGCGGTCCAAGAAGCGGAACGACAGCGCAAGCGTCAGGCGGAGAAGGGCGATGAAGGCCGGCGTCAAGACACCGCTCGCAAACATCAACGGCGAGTGGACGTTCCCGAAGCCGTTCGAGCCAGTGAACGTGCCGCGCGAGAGAGGGTGCGAGCCCTGGACTTTGCTCGTCTGGACGCGCGTTTCAAACGCGACTTTGTGGATCGCAGCTTCGGCCACAGCTGCGCCGTGTGTGACCGGCTGTGGTTCGATAACAACCTGAGCTGCATTTCCGGCGTGAGGAACGAAACCAACAGGTTGAACGCGTTGCGGGTTCTTTGGGACGAGTTCGAAAAACAGTCGGGCGAACACCGATGCGACGACATGGATGCGCAAGACCCGCGGCTGGCTCCCTTCGGTGCGTTCCAGGTGTGTGCGTCTTGCCGAGAGTCCCTGCTGGCCGGGCGGGTTCCGCCGTTGAGCAAGAGCCACGGCTACGCGGACCCGCCTCGTCCCGCGGACCTCCCCGATCTGAACCCGGTGGAAAAGCGCCTCATCTCGCCTCGACTCCCCTTCATGAGCATCAGGTGGCTCACGCAGGGCAACGGTCAGTACGGCATTAAGGGACAGATCGTGAACGTGCCCATCGACGTTCCGAGCGTGGTGGAGTGTCTTCCGCGGCTGTTTCCCGAGGACGTTGCGATAGACGTGCACGTGAAGCGGAGGCTGGTGAGTCCGGCTACGTACAGGCGTGGACTGGTGAAGCGCGGTAACATCTTGGCATGGTTGAAGCACCTGGAGCATGCGCCGTTGTATGTCGCTAGCGGCGTGCGCATCGACTGGAGTCGGCTGGGTGTGATCAAATTGCGATTCCCAGGAACCATTACATCATAAAGGCACCATAGTGTGATTAATAAATATAATAGTGCGAATTAATAAACACCCCTCATAGCATCACCCCGTGCATTCGCACTTAACCATGTTCACCCTCGGGGAAAAGCTTGGGAGCTTTTCTGCGCCCGAGTTTCATCACTGTGGTTTGGTACGCTCATTTCATTATGAATTGGGAAACTATCTTTTTAAAAGGAAAGATAATTAAGAAAGCAGATCCTCATTTTACATTTTGTTCACATTTGCATTTCCTTGTGCTTTCGGCTCCACTGTTTGAGTTAGCCAAGGAAAGGTGTTCTGAAACCTGTTTCGTCAAACAGTCATCAAAGCAGTGTTGCATTTCAATTTATTGAATCACAGCGGCGCTATGTTGACCCGAAATCGTGACAGTTGTGCTTGATTATTCTTACTATCTGCCCTTCCCTTGTTTAGGCTCTGTGGAGTCTCTATGATGGCTGCTTTGTTCATATTGTTCATTGCTCACATCTGCAGGCTGCATTGATGTCCATCGCATGCAAGGAAGGTCTCTCCATCACACCTGCTGTTGTGCAAGAGATTGTCATGGCCTCCAACCAAGATGTGCGACAGGTCAGTCTAATAAATCTGTTACATTTCCAAGTTTTCCCTGCAATAGGGGGCTTGTTACCATGCGCATCTGCAAATAATGGTAGTACACTAAATGTTCTCGGGCAGTGTTTAATGACGGTCTTGCTACAAAAATTTTTTCTGACTGGTTTGTTGAGAGAAAGAGGAGAATTTACTGAGATGAAAAATTTAGATCAAAGGAAAAGTACAAGCTTGTTAAGCATTGGCAAATTTCATCTCATTCTGTTTGTGGTTGTTCTCTTCCAATGTATAAAAATGGGAGAACTTGAAACTGGATAGACGAATTTTATGTTTGTTTAGATCCTAGCCCTCATGTCTTATGTCACTTGTTTTGTTTTATGTTTTATTACTATTGAATGGTCTCTTTTGGTTAAAATGATTTTTGCTTTTAGGCACTGCACAACCTCTCGCTTTGGAGCTCCCGAACAAAGACCATGAGCGTGTCGCAGGTGAAGGCGGATGCGGGCAAGGGCACCAAGGATATCAAGATGGTGAGGCGTTTCGTATGGGCTGTCATATAATGCAAACTAATGACGTGCCGAAAGTGTGGTATCGGCGCCTAACGTGTGGCTGTTCGCTCTTTTTCTCTCAGGGTCCGTTTGACGTGGTGCGCAAGATTCTGTCGAGCACAGAGGGTGGCCAGTCCATGACGCTCAACGAGAAGGCGGCACTCTTCTTTCACGACTACAACATGGTCCCTCTGTTTGTCCAGGATAACTACTTGCACGTTCAACCTTTGGAAGCCAAGTGAGCCTGCTTTCTGCTTCTCGCGAAAGAGATGTATGTGATGCACGTGTGGGTTGGATCAACTCTCTGACATGGTGGTATGCAGTTCCATGTTGGTGACGGCACTTGGCCAGAGCTACTAAACACCACACCTGCAAATATTATCCTCGCAACAAACATAGGCTTTCAAGTGCAGCCCATCGCCTCTCGATTATTATTATTTTTTTTTTAGAAAAGCTTTGCTCAATAGCCTTTGCTTCTTCAATGCTTTTTAGAATTGGCCAGGAGTGGAGCAACTGTGGCATTTGTGGCAAACTGGTTTACCTGCACCATCCTGCACTGAACCATTCCTGTTGTGCCTAAATTGCTTATCAGTGCCATATTGCGCCACAGAGCCTCAATTTAACGGCAAGGTGCCTCCATGCCTGAAATATCATGCTTTCAGTTTCATCGAAACAGTTATTTTAGCGGTTTCACCAAGGCTGTGGCCACTGGAAGCAGCAGCTGTGAACTTTGATTGTAAGGTTCGAGATCGATCGCGGGTGCGCTATCTCTGCAGACATCAGCGCTACATAATATGGCTCGCAAACCCTTGTACGCCCTGAGTAATCAACGCGAAGTGACAGCTAGAAGAGCATCTCTTGAGCGTTATGTCGAGTTACGCGATACCGGATCTAGAAAAGTTAGCTGCCAGCCATACTTCATATAACATAACTATTTGTTGCTATCACACTCATTGCTTCGCCTTTGCAGAGGTACTGATTTTTAAAATAACTTAATGACAGCATTCAGAAAAGCAAATAAAAGGATAACAGTAACGGTGCTCAAAAGAAGTGGAGATGGAGTCAGGCTCCCGGAACAGCCTCATAAAGACATGTGCACAGGACTGCTCATGAAGAGCACGTGCATATATTTCAGTTCGCCAATGTGCTGCTTCATATGGCACTTACTGTACTCAGCGGTTCAAGCTGGTGCGTTCAAGTTAAATGTACGGCTGACCGCACACATCTATGGTAATAGTTACATTTGCACCACAAGGGATCAGCAACGAATGAGGTAGTAGCTACAAATTGTCATGTTGTATGAAGTAAGGTGATATCTAATTTTTTTGGATTCGATCTCGTGTCACTGCACAAGATGCTAGAGTAAAAGATTACAGCCACGCCAAGGAGAGCAGTATTTTTCGTGCAGTTTCTTCGCGATGAGAGCAGAGCACGTCGAAGTGTATGAGAGCCGCCCACTGATGGTTACCGATATAGCGCGTGCATCAGCGATCGCAACCGTGCTCTTAGAAGCGAAGTCCACAGTTGCTGCCCGCGTGGCACCCCTACACCCCTCGCGTTTTTTCATGATCGTTCAAGACAGGCGTGGCTTTTGCTCTGCCTCGATTCATGGTTCATGTTAACTGATTCATGAAATGTTTTCAAAATATTAATTTTCTTTTTCTTTGAAGGACATAAGTAAAAAAAATTGAAGAAAAATTTTTATCACAATACAGCCTGCATTCAGTTTTTATTGTAGTACTGTAGTAGAAAATGGTAGTGCAGTATTGTGACACTCTCTGTGCACACACAAAAAGATGAACCAGACGCTTAGATTTGCTCATGTTTGCTAAATGAAACTGGGGCATTTTATTCTCAATGAACTCAGCATGTTCTTATTTTCAACGAATTCAACCAGCATACAAGTAAGCATGGGAAATATGTGTACTTTATGAGTTCGTCTACGAGAGGTGAAAGGTTAGACGTAAAGAATGGCCCTCTGTTTGGCTATTCGCTCGTAGTCTGACAGTAGTCGTCATCGTTTTCTGTGCAACTCTCGTATTTACATTTTGGCCAGGGGCGACCGCCAGAAACACCTACGATTGGTCAGTGAAGCAGCCGACTGCATCAGCTATGGAGATTTGGTGGAGCGGCAGATCCGGCAGCACGGCAGTTGGTCGCTGCTTCCCATGCAGGCCTTCTTCTCCAGCGTGATTCCCGGAGAACTGGTCCGAGGTCACATGCGCGAGATGATCAGCTTCCCAGCGTGGTTTGGCAAGAACTCCTCCACAACCAAGCGACACCGCCTGCTGCGTGAACTCAAGCATCATACGCACACACGGTGAGGGCTTTTGTGTGTCAAAGTTGGGTTGTATGACCTCTAACCTGGACCAACAGCTATCTCGTGCAGCTGTGGTAATGGACATGTTTCAAAGAAAGAACGCTGCTATTGTTTGACCTTGCTTCAATATCCGGCTGGTGCTTCCTGCGATTGCATTGCTTGCACGATATCGCTGGTGCAGCTGTTAGCCTTGTCCCTTGGCATGCCCACGAACAGTGACTAGAGAATAAATGGGAATTTGCTTGTTTGTTTTAAAGTCATGCTGTCGGTCCTATTGCAGCAACATACTAGTAAATTGCAAATGAGTTCTTTTTGGTAAACTCCGACTGAACTAGCCCACGATCATGCAAGTGGAGTTCGATAGATGAACGGCATGTCGTAAGGTATCCAAAAGTTTTGGGTCGTACACAATGTCTTGGTTGATTTGGCATCAGCTCATAGAGCGATGGAAGTTGGGCGAGTTGGTTTTGACTCCTGACGCGAAAAGGTGGGGAGAAGACGGCAACACAGAATAGAAAGCACAGGACCACACACCTCTCCTGCGTCGTCCTGTGTTTTCAGTTCTGTATCGTCGTCCTTCTAGGCCTTTGCACGTCACAATTTAAAGACCTTACCTTTGGATTACTTTGGATGTTTTGCCAAATTCTATCATAAACTGGCTATTGGAGCTTAATTCAGCTTGTAATTAGCTTGTAATTAATTCAGATTGAAAACTAATAGTCACATTCTCTTGCTTCACTGTCACACAGAGTGTCCGCTGACCGCACGCAATTGTCCATGGACTACGTCGGGCCCTTGTTAGACTCGCTGACCAAGCCACTGATCGACAAGGGTGCTGATGGTGTGCCGAGTGTTGTGAGCCGCATGCATCACTATTACTTGCAGCGAGCCGATCTGGACAATCTTTGTGACCTGGCTTTGTGGCCGGGCATGAAAGACCCCATGGCGAACATAGACTCCAAGGTATACCCGCCAGTGCATAAAGCAGCTGCTGCCCATCAATCTGGCAAATATATAGTTGAATTTTTTAATGTAAAAGCTTTCTACAAGTGGTTGAACAGCAGTTTTAGATGTGTTTTACGTGTTCACATTATCTTCAGAGAATAAATAGGGGTGAAGAAATCACTAGTGCTGTGAAGTAGGGCATAAAAACTCGTAAAACTGTAGCTAAGGATGAGTATAAAATGAAAGATTGAATCGTTTTTCAAAAAGGTCATTAATGAGGATGAGTGAGAGGGTCCTGGTTGCATGTTGCTGGTACTGGATAATGTCGTTAAACTGCTGGCTTGTGTTGCTGGCGTACGGCACGAGCAGCTTCCGGTTTGCACGCACTGCAGTTTCCTGTTAACAAATTATCTGCAGTGTCTTTATCCTTTCAATAAATCGCGCTAACAGGACTACAAAGGGTAAAATTATTTGAGTTGAGCTGGTAAGTTTCCCCTCCTACAACATGGTAAGCGTACTACAACACCTTAATGCGATACCTTAATCCGGAAAGACGCTCAATGCACTAGATAAGCAGGTAATGGAAGGACAGGTGGTGATGCTTCCTTGGAAGTTCCTGCGCCAGCTCGCCGTGATGCCATGGATGTTGATGGCCTCTAGTGGAACCTGGTTAAACTTTTATTGCCTGGGATGGCTTGGACTGTATACTATATAAGCAAAAGGTTAATTTAGCTAGGTTCATCTACTCAACCACAAACTACCTTGAAATCCGACACGTCAAACTGACATAACACCGCTCTTCTCTGCGCTGTCTTCACGTGTGCTGGCAGTTCTGGTCCTAGAAAACTTGGTAAGGCTGTCATTGTGCGACTTACCACATAGGTCATCAGGTGCTATACTTCAGGATGAGCTTCATTTTGTTTTGAATTATGTGGACCGTGGAACTTGTATTGCTAAGCTTCAACTGTACTTTATGCAATTAAAGAGTGCCTAGTGGTTGAAATTATTCTGAAGCCCCACAAATAGCATCCCACGATGTCCCGCATAGCTCTCATATCGCTTTTAATGTTAAATCCAAAGATGCTTTTGTTTTGCTGCTACGACTGGCATCTATGGCCCCTCACCATTTTTCTTTGTTGCTATTGTTTTGTAGGTAAAAGCTGCTCTGACACGTACCCTGAATAAGGAAGCCTTTATGACCCCTTATTCCACCGGCGACTTCGTCAAAAAGAAGGCAAAGAAAGGTGCTGGAAAATCCGAGAAACTGGCTGCATCGCAGGACGATGAGGAAAATGCTGAAGAAGAGGAAGAGGATGAGGAGCCCGACCCAACACTTGTCGATTACGAGTAGATTGCCATCTCGTTTTCCAAATTTGGTTGCACGCTGTGGTTTGACTGCCCTGTGTTCGCAACTTGTTTGCTATTGGTAAGCGATCGTGTGGAATGCTGTGTGATAAAATTGTTTGGAGCCTCACACTTCCTCACACTTGAAATGATACTGCTACCTCATATTCTCTCCTTTCTGCATTCAGAATAAGCGTTCCACTGCAGTGTTCATTAGACATGTTGCTTTTTGAAAGAGCTTGTGTTGTTGGCATTGATATTCATAATTCATATGTGCGAAATTTGTGCCTTTAAGGCAGTAGTCGAGGCTTGTTGATCATAAATTGTTGACCTGTGTGTGTGTGTGTGTATGTGTAGGGGGGGGGGGGGTTGCTTTGAAATGTAAATGTTGATAATGACAATTTTTTACTGTGCGATGTGTGATTTTCTGTGCGCTTCTTTTTGTTTTGTTACTTGAGATTGCACACAGGTAATAGAGAGCCGACGTTCACAGCTAGCAGGAAAAGGACTCTCATGTCTTTTATATTTAGGTGATGTGGATGCAGACTCGAGTCACGCAAATAACAGATAATGTCCTAGTTGAATGAAGCTGACGTTCGATCACCACTTGATTGTTAAGGCAAATTCAAGCTTGTTCGAAAAGTGTTCAGGGCCTTGCAAAGTTGTTACATTGAAGCCATGGAAAGCCGCAGTTGTCTGCCAACGAAAAGCTCCATACGGTGTGTTTGCGACATTCGCAGTACATATCACGCTCACTGAAACAGCAAAGTTCATTTTCACTTTCGTGGTTCCAACAAAAGTTGAGATTGTGCCTGAATGTCTAAAAGACTCAACGAGTTGTCCAGTTATGCTACACATGGCTTGCACTTAAAAGCAGTTGGGCTGCTGCACTCTGTGAGTGTGCAGAAGGAGATGGGGACTGAATCTTTAAACATTAAAGCTTTATGAATGTTAAGTTGCCGTCTGTTTGTAGTAGCAACTTTCACCAGCAATCAAACTTCCGATTGCTGAGTATTTTCTATTGCACAGTGTCCTGTTCTTTCTTTTATGCTCTCCGTGTCCCGACCCAGTGTATCTTTGTAAATCTCTGTGTGTCTACATTACGCTTACAGTGTTCTTTCCTTTGCTTTGGCATGGAAGTGAAGCAGTATGCATGTTATTTCAGTACTAAATGACATCAGTAATTATCTCACCACACAACATGAATGCATGCTAATTCTGTAATGAAAGTATGCTAATCATACAGTTTAGCAGCATGCATGTTAATTCTGTACTATATAACATCAACAAGTACACCGCTAGGATGAATGATTGGGTAAGCTATCTCTTTGCTAGTGATAATGTATGAATGTGCACAACTAATTGTGTTCACATCTCCGTCGCACATTGTATATATAATACTAATCATATCACACAATGGCACTGAGATCATACTTTTGTAACGTTTTTGCTAGGATTCCTGGACTCTGCTCATTATAGTACTGTGGGCTCCAGTCTTGATCATTAGCGCATGTAATAAATGTATGCTGATTATTCAGATCTAACCTTGTGACATTGTGGATGTCTAGCCAGTTTAGTCCCATTGATAATTGATCATACTGTTGAATGCCTTTACTCCATCTCTTCCTAGGATCCCCCCAAGCCCTTTTGTTATATGATCATTGAATGTATAACAGGTAAGCCCTGATATAACGGATGTGGATACATATGACACACTGTCAGTTATAGCAAACTAAATGAAGGAAAAACAACCTCAGTGGTGTAACTGATGTATCTTAGTCATTAATTTTAAGATAAAACAAACCTACTCTCTGTTATAACTATAAATTTGACTCTACATTGAGTGCTGTTTTTGGTTAAGTGTTTTCATCAAGCATCTGACAGAGCAAATATGTGGATGAGATCATGTGGTGAAGTTGTTTTGTCGCAGATGCATAGACAAATGACGAAAAATCCCTAAGACAGCAAAAGGAATCGGTATAGACTCGGGCAAAATATTGCTGACTGTATTTCTATGGGCCAGTGTATGAAGTGTAGGTGACTGAAACGCTGTCATATATACAAGAGCAGCAGTAAAATCAAGAACTCTGTTTTGGAAGAGTGTTTTATTATATATAAGCAGCAGAGCTTGCAAAAGATGTTGAAAAAGCTGTCGCACCGTGGTGTAGTACTGTTGGAGCAGTCTTGTTGCATCACGATACAACAATAATGTAGCACAAGTTGAACTGTTTCAAGAGTAATAGTCATATCAGACATCTAGAAAAGTTATGTGTTTACAGAAATGCCATGTTTCAACTAGACATATGGATGTGCAAGCTGGTTAAGCCACGGCCTATTTCAATGCGAGTTTTAAATTATTGCTTCATGGTCATTATAATTATGCTGAGGTGCTATGCTATTAATGCTAATTACATTTTCACTGTTGTAGATGTCTCGCAGGTAGTGTTTCGCAGCGTCACTAGAACTGTGCAGGCAGCATGTGAGGGCTGGCATTGGATATCAACAGGCGGGCTCTTCATGCAAATCTTTGAAACTGATTTACTTATCTGGTCTTGTAACAAGCTATCGGCATCACGCAGTAATATATTACAGCAGATTGTAAACATGTCGAATGCTTGCCCTCCGTACAAACAAATAGTTCGTAATTTCACAAGCGTTTCCTCAAAACGTGTGGGCAGTTGTCTTTGTTTCCTGTTGGGTGGTAAGCGTGAAATAATGTTTCATTGTGTCCACTCGTGTTACACCTGGTTTGACTAGCATTTAGCGGTAAATGCTAATTTTCTGCATTTGTTGAGGCTGCTCTGGATGTGGGTGCATCAAATAACGTTTAACTTGTGGATACGAAGCCCACACTTTCCAAATATGTTAGATGTGCACTATTATATGCCAACCTCGATTATTTGAGTGTTGTACCACTGCATACGGTATGTTTTCATTATTAGGCAATGAGTCCTTGATGCACTAAGAAACATCTTTTGCCTTGGAAATAGTGGTTTAATTGCTTCTCATTGTAGGCACGTGTGTAGAAAATGTTGGTGTATGTTATTTGGGAATGCTTTGTTTTTTAAGGGGTCGTTGAAGCAGAGTTGAAGAATTTCAGGCCATTAATGTGAGGTTTGTTTTCATTTATTCACACAAATACCATGTCCCCATAACATGCACTTAATGCACACCCTTACTGCTCATTATGATCTGTCCATGGGAGCATTAAACTCAATTGTGTGTAAGCAAGTTGTTTCATAAAAAGTGTATCTACACAACTTTTCTGCCTGTACTCATTTTCCTTGTTTCATGACATTTGTGAAGTGCTTCGGAGCACAGTTCGTGTACACCTCTGAAGTTATTTGTTTTTTGTGCTGCAATAGTTTGTTGAATTGCTAATAAATGACTGCTTTGAAACCTCTTCTGCTTTTAAAGAGTTAGGGTGAATTTTTTTCCTCCATCTTGCTGCTTTGACAGTGACGGTGTTGATATATTTGTGGTTGTAAGCAAAAGTGCAATAATGCTTCACACAGTTTGTCACGTTTCTGTAGTATTTGCGCGGCGTTGTCAACGGCAGCCTTCAGTGGCTGATTCATCTTTCTCGCTCTTGCGAGGAAAACTTCCGCGTAATTCTTTAGAGAATTTAGAACCATTACGAGCTCAGTTGACGGATACAGGAGTCCACCTCTGTCCTGGTGCCTAATTAATGCATCCGATGGCGCAGAGGTGTTTGGTTTAGTCACCAAAGTGAAGCATTCATCACAGGAAATGGTTTCGTGGACTGTTCTTGCTTCAAACCCGATCTCGCTTCAAACAGGAAAGCGCTTCGCCTTGAATTATCGTAAAATGCCTCCCTCCTTATTTCATTTTTGCCCTTTCGGTAGTTACTCAAAGCCGGTTTTTTCTCCATAGCTGCCATCCATTCTCTCGTTTTGCGCCTCGGCGCTCCGCCAGGAGCGCTCGCATCCCATAATAGCTCGGGGGACGGCGCTGAGGGACCGACCGCTCGGGCACAAAGTTATAGAGGAGGCTATGCTTTAACACACGTGGACGAAGCGGGGTGTTAAAGTCATCTGCTTTTTCTTTCTTGAAGACAGCACTGGTCTGCAATCAACACAGAATATTAATTTGTTTTAAAAACTTGGGGCTGAAAGAATGTTGCGCATCTGCGTGAACGAGTTGGTGACGTACCAGTACGCTGAACTTTGGATTTACTGCTGTAGCATTAAAGCGTTGCTTGAGGTAGGTCTTAGGGAAATGCACATTGTCAATACGTCAGCACATGTGCTGACCTCGCTTCTTGGAGAGGTAGAAATGAGGTGTGGCGACCATGAGTGACGACTAAATTCTGTGAGTGTGAAATTCTAGTCATGCTTTTTGCTCATTGTCTCCACTTGTGAAGGCATGCTTGCTGGCATCAAATGGGGTGTTATGTCCCCAACGGTTTGAAAGTTGTGCCAAGAGGTCTACGAATGCAGGTCTTTAGCCTATTGTGTTTTTTTAGTCACTGTTTAGCTTTCTCACCCTGTAATTTGCATTTGCCTCTTACTATTAAACCCTGTAATTTGCGTTTGCCTCTTACTATTGTCAGGTGTCCATATTTGATTCTAATTCGGGTTGGAGAAGGAAGGGGGCCATATGCGGCATACTGAGTGGCAGCGAGCTGCAGTGAACGACACAGCTGCGTGCAGTGTATCGGCTTCTTACGGCGAAGTGCTTCTAGTACGCCTCTGTAAGAGGCTGATAAAATTGCATTGAAGTTCTTAACTATGCTTACGTTTTTGTTTACTCGAGATTTCAATTTGTGACTCCTTGGTAAAGCGAAGAACATTAATTCTTGACTAAGGCAATCGCCCTCCTTTCTGTTTCACGCCTATTTCACCTTTTTTTATTTAACACGTGCTCCAAGTACCATCACATGCATCGCATGCTTGTGCAGCATCGATGCTTGTGTAGCTGTAAAATGGAGTAAACGCACGGGCGGAATAAACGCGACCCGAATCGCCTTCAAAACGCACGGACGGACACTGCTTCCACGGCGCCGGTAAGAGTGAAAATAAAGATAGACTACCCTTTTTTTTCTTTTGCACAAAACGAACGGCCGATACATAGTGGTGCAATGATTTCGACAATACTGCGCCGATTCCCGCAGCTAAAATGCCGCAACTATAGTGTATATTCTAGTACACTATACCGAAACTTAGAGAATATGGTATGGTTTCGCTTTCTGAAAGCGGTGGAGTGGTTATGAAGACCCAGCAACATTGGAGGACATTTGTTGTTACTTGCGGTACAGCCACTGTACTTGCGGTTGCTGTCTCGCGGTGTGCTGTGGTCGCACCTTCTGCTGCTTCCAATTTAGAAGTGACTTTTTTCTGCTCCATTTGTTTACATTCCTCTCCTTCACTCAATCTGTTATTCGGCGGAAATGTCAAGTGCGAGCTAACAACGTGAAGACGTCCGGGACCACAGGTAATTCACATTACCTCTTCAATTGCGAACCGTGCTGTTGCAATGCCGCGAAATGTCCGTTCGTCGGCGGACAACCGAAGTTTGTGTGGCACTGGGAAAGAAAGGGCCCGGGGGCTCTTGACACGCCCGCGAGCTTCGTCATCTTCCTGTAATTTCACGTAACGTCATGCATAAAGTAGGCCCGACGCGGTTCCGATTGGCTGTTGCCATAGGAGCTCCGGCGTGCGCGTCACGGCGGTGCAAGCGATGCGATAACCTTCCCCCCCGTCCCGCCTGCGTTTCGTCCCAGTGTGAGCTTTCTGTGTCGGGCAGACGTTTATAACAGACGAGCTGTCGTTCAATGCTGGCCGCGTAGTATACACTGAATATGCCTCGTCATAAGCGACCTCCACCTCCCGTTCCTGCTGCACGCAGGTTGGTCGACATGCCTTACTACGTGAGCGACGTAAACCCGGACTACACGGCTGCCCTGGGATTATTCCAGCACCTCAACACCGAGGAGCTGCAGAAACTACTAAACGATGACGACCGTGTCGACAGCATGGTCAAGGACCTCCAACAGGTGTGTTGCGTGCCGATTGCGAGTGCGTGCTTGTATTCGAAGCTTGCGTCCGCGTGTGCAATCATACCTCACTGATGTTTGCTTTGTGCAAAACTGCACTAGGATGTCTAGGTTTCTGTTTAGAGAGCTAGGGTGCCCTTCGCGCAACCGTGTCGCAGTGTGTTGAAGACGTACAACGTTTTCACTGGTTTGACACTCAGATGAGCTGTCGTTCATGACGGCAAACATTCTTATGCTCGTGCTGGGGATCGTCATATCATTGAATCCACGTGTATTTAAAAGCAATGTGTTGCTATTGAAATATGTGTGACCACACCGAAGTGGTGAGATCGACAACGGAATAAAATGTTCCTTTGGTTATTCTCCTTGCTGAAACTTCTGTTTATAATTCACCAACCGTGTTTATTTTAGTTTTGGTTTGTTAATATCCACAGAAACTTTGTTGTCTTGTCACTGCATGAGCTAATTTTCGCGCTATACAAATCAGACGATCGTCCATGCACTAGATTATACTTTGGTCACATGCCAAGTTAGCATCGACGTTTGAAGTCAAATCTTCATAGAAATATGTACACTGTTTCATGTGTTAGCTGCGGCTGTTGTAGGCCACTTGTGAGGCGTTACCAAGTAGAACATAGGAGACGGTGCAGGCAATGCAAAGAAATGACAAAGAACATTTACCAAGTGTACTAGCTGTATTTTTTTTTTTTTTTTTGCTGTTTCAGCTTAAAATTCAGCATACAAAAATTAGGGGACACTAAGGCTTTGCCTTAGGGATTCGAACACGATAGCGACATTCTGTTCCTAATGCGTACTTCAAACATTCAGTGCATGATACCTTTCGCATTTGCTATGCACCCACTACATGGCCTTAAGGCATTAGGTGCAATAGCGTGTTTGCCTTTTGTAGAGGGTAGTGGCTTTCAACGACGGAGCCATTATGATATATTCTGACGCCCGTTGGCAATGGACGCTTGTACCACACATCATTACTGCAACGTTTCATGTTGCATTGTGAAGCATGTATACAGGGCAGTTAATTAGCAGGTGAAGCAGTGAAGCAGGTATACAGGATAGTTAATTAACCATTACAGAATATTCATGCAAATTCATGATGTCCTATGTGTGAAGCCAAACCTCATATGCACGAGAGTGCATGCTACGAGCGATGAAATAGGCTATTCGGACGACGTGTCGTGGGGTCAATATTGTGCAATCGCTCACATTTTCAGATTTGAAATCTGTTACCTATTGTCCGTGGAGTACTGTGCTCCAGCAGCCGATAGCAAAATACTGAAACAGGTTGTGCATCTGTGACATATGCTGTTGATTGTTGCCACTTGCTTATCATTGTGCACCAGCAACACGGCCAACGGTGACGAGTGCAACTTTCACGTAATTGAACATAAATGTTCATTATGAGACCTGAGAGACAGGAAATAAACATTCATTCATTCATTAATTCCTCTAACCCAGGAACTACAAGTTTCGTGCCATCTCTGATGCGGGCTGGTGGCACGTAGCAGCGCTGATGGGTTCGAAACGGATAAGACAATAAACATTTTATGTACCATTGTGGAAAAAAAAAGCATCGTATTTTACATTGCATGCTGCAGACGGTGCACCACTTTTGGTACAAGTAAACGCCCTCATGCCAGCAGCAGTGGAGATCTATCGCCGAAGCAGTCGCGTGAATGGAGTTTGTCCGTGCAAGCGGTTGCTTTCACGAAGGCAATCTATGTCTCGTCACTGTCGCGTACATTTTCGTGCATATGGGGGTTGACCTTCAGTGGTGGATGTGCTTTCAGTACCAGCATTTATCCATTGGTAGCAACAGTTAATATGTATGTCTAACCTCTGCTGCAGATAGCCCACTCTCAATGTTGTGTTTTTTATGTGCAGTGCTATGAGGTAAGGTTTTTGGGTATACATTGTTACATTTTACATTGTACTTAAATGCCATTACAGCCACATATAAAGAAAATGCATTTTTGTCAAACAGCGTCAACAAAACAGTTCCAATATTTCTGCATATGAGTAACACTCACACAGTGATGGAAGCGCTGCTCCTATCGCTCCAAAATGTTGCAAAAGAGAAATGCTGTTCCATGCTGCTCCAAAATGCAATATTTATTAGTAACTTGTCCGGGCCTGCTCCGAAACGGCGTGGTGGAAACTAAAAACAATCAAGCTGGACCATGTGGCCATCCAGTGAGCCTACATGAAAACAAAAACAAATTGTATACTGTCATCTAGTAAACAGCTTTTATAGTAGCTGTATACTAGAATATTGACAATGCTACAGGTACTCGCACTTTATATATATATATATGTGATATAGTTGTGTGTCTGTACCTTACAAGCAGACTATTTTGCTGAAGTGCGTGCGAGAATTCTTTGCCGTACTAGCCGCTGCTGTGACAACTTCGATATGTGACTGATTACTTTTAGCATGTTCGTCAGCTTTGACCTCGTTTATGTCTCAAGAACAAGCATTTTAAAGAATAATTCATTTCATTAAAATGAAATTTTAAAATTTCAATGCTGGGTACTTAAGATATGCAAATGACACTTAATTGGTATTAAAAAACCATCCTTATTCTTAATTATGATCTTTGCCATTTTTAGTGAATATTGTATTCACAATATGTCTTATTTAAATAATAATAATATATATAAGAGACCTAAATGATGCTATAAACTTCATGAGTCATTTGGAATAATTTGCTATCTGCAGCAAAAATGCCAGTAGCTGCTCCAGGCTAGAATTTTTTCTGCTTCAAAAACATTCAAGGCTACTCCTAAGCACCATTTTGCCTGCTCCAGAATCTGCTCCAAAAATCAAAATGTTGCTTCCGTCACTGCTCACAATGCATATAAAAAAATTTACACGACTCTCACACAAGGTATAACTAAGGTCAAGCAAGAGTGGTTACTTGAATACTTTTCTGATCATGTCCTGCATAATGAGAATAGCGTCTCTCATAATCAAATGGTGGTTTTAGGACGTCAAAACCCACATATCAATCAATGCATCATGAGAGTAATCATAATCCGGGCAGCAAAGTGAATGGCAGCAACAACAAATGATAATTCTAAAGAACCCCGGAGCCAAACAACCATGCCTTCTAAACATGAGCTGTGAAACACTGCAGATTCATTGTAGATATTCAATGGAATGTGATGTAGAGTATATTCATGTAAAACCACCAGCCCCAAATCGAGATCGCTTTGGATCACTCTTTGTCTGGGAAAGTTTATGGAATAAGGATACCATCTTCACCAAATCATGATATAGATTTCTTGTTCTTTAGAACTACCTGCACACCATTTGATGAACAAACCGCTATGGACCTTGGGGATTACACATGAAAGTTACACATCACGCCATATTCCTACTGCGCCAATTTGTTTTCCATGAGGGTATTCGCAGCACCAAAAGCCAAATCAGTGTTCAGCTTATCAGACACGAGATGTGATAATTGCAGCACACCTGGCAGTAATCATGTTTGATCAAGTTCTGCACTGCTGCGGTGGCTCAGGCGTTACGGTGCTTGTCTGATGACCCAAACAATGCACGTTCAATCCTGGCCACGGTGGTCACATTTCAGTGGAGGCAGAATACCAGAGACCCTCGTACTGTGCACTGTCAGTACCATTAAGGAACCCATAGTTGTTGAAATTTCAGAGCCCTCCATTACGGTATGCCTCATAATCATATCGTGGGTTTGGCATGTAAAATCACAGAAATTATTATAATTAGTATTTAGTACTGTTTGCTCACTGAATTGAAACAGCCACAACATACATGCAGTTGGTTGCCAAGCTAACCGTTTCATGGTTAGCTTAGCATCTGCAAGTGAGGGCTTGTAATGTTTCCACGTTTTGTCTCATCAATGTATTAAAGGCCACAGTAGGGCCGGGTACCACATGTAGCCAGCCCGGTGTGACGTTTTAGTGACTGCAAGGTTGTACAGACTAGCACGAGAGTTTTCTGTGTTAGCACTGTCTGCAAAGTAATTCTATGTGTCATGTGTCTGACTTGTTTGCAACAGCATGTAATGTGACAATTGCAGATTTACAGTTTTGTCATTGTACTGCTGTGTCGTCGTGATAGGTGAAGAACGCCGAGAATGAACGCGAGATGCTCCTGGCGAGCAACAAGAGCCTCGCTGACTTCAACCTGTCCAGGGAGCCCAAGCTAAGGCAGTCGCGTCAGCAGCTGAAGGAGCTGTACGAACAGGCGCAAGAGCTGATGAACGAAGTGGAGCAGAACAAGAAAACGCTCGGTTAGTCTCATCAATGGTCGTTACGAAACGAGACCAATGTTTGCTTGAAAGTTGCTTCTGTCAGTTCTTTGTGTACAGAATATTTTAGTACTGAAAGCCGTTACGAGCTCACAAGAGCCAACAACTTGATGGCATTGTGGGCCACTGCCACCATCGGTAACTGCTATCACGGCGAACCAGGAAATTATGTCCAAGATTCGATGGAATTTCAACGTGGGCCTTCTGTGCCAGTCGAGTAATCTACAACAGAGCTGTGCTGGTGCTTGAAACTATGTCATCAATGATCATACTTTTTGTGTAGTGGAGAAGCATCCAGTATGCCATTATTTGTCAATCTTTGAAAAAGTGTGGTACCCGCTACACATTTGTGAGGCATTATGTGCACCTTGTTGATGCTGTGGCTGACGAAGATGAAGAATTATGCTTGAGGCTTTTGTAATGAATTGGAGTCTTCCCCGACACACTTGTTATGCTATTAGCATTGGGCGACACCTGGTTGATACATTCAACACCACCTAGAATAAGCTCAAGGCCACTGCACGCTTCCGTGACGTCACGTACAAGAGATCGGCCTGAAAGTCAGCTTCACCGCACCGGGTTTTCTCGCCTGGATATCAGAGCAGCTGTTTTTTCGAAGATATCACCTCTTTTGTGCCAGCTGTTATTGTTTAAGATGTCCCAACTAATTGAGGTAATCTTTGTGAGAACGACACATTGTTTTCAAGCTCATTCAGGCATAAGAAGCCTCAAACCTTTGTCGATTGCTTCACTGAACGGCAAACTTAGCATTCTTGCTTCTTTTTTCTCCTCAGCTTTGATGCAACAAATCCATTTGTTTCTCTGGGTCGCGGGATCGAATCCCAGCTGCGGTGGCTTCATTTCCGATGGAGGCGGAAATGTTGTAAGCCCATGTGCTCAGATTTGGGTGCATGTTAAAGAACACCAGGTGGTCGAAATTTCCGTAGCCCTCCACTACGCCGTCTTTCATAATCATATCAAGGTTTTGGGACGTAAAACCCCACATATCAATCAATCAAACTTGAATCCTCCTCTTGTAATACCTGCAATGAGCAGTGTGTCTTCACGATCCAAACTGGTGTCCTCCAGTACTATAAGGTTTTCTTTGCACGACACACACGAGAGCTTCTTCAGTGTCGCATGCCCACAATACCCAGCAACATACGTTACAGCGAGAATCACTGATGATCTTTTTTTTTTTTTTTGTGACATCAGCATCAGTCACTGCAATGCTGAACTGCCCACAAAGTGAATCAACAGTAATGGCAAGGACTGGCTCTGCGACAACGTTCAGGTCCAGTATTTTTTGAAGCCTGAGCTTGTTCTCAGATTCATAGATCTGCCTAATCGAGATGTGGTTTTGAGGACCAGATAGCTGGCGGTACTTCCCAAATCTGTCCTCCAGGCCATCCGTCTGAAACTTTCCTAGGGGCACATGCCGAAATTTTAGCTCTTCAAGGCAGTACAGTGAGATCTCATACAAAGCATGGCTTGTGTGGCCAAAAGCCAAGTGCATCTCTTTCGTTAGGTGACCTGCGTCGTGCTTGAGGCTAGTCCAATAGTCTAGCCACTGTGGTATTTTTTTCAAAAATTCCAACTGTGGACATGTTGTTGACACAATCGGACACTGCATCTGATCAGACAAGCGTTCACCTTTTCTGGGAGTTTTCAGATTTACGATTCGCCACCATGTCAAAATAGTGTTAATAAAATCTGCTGTTTCGTTGGCATGTTGAACTGCTGAGCACTGTAATGCGGCAATTGTTAATTCATTAAATATTTGGAGAGCGAGATTTACGTTCTGATGTTCCATACTTGAGGGGTTTATTGCTTTAAGTGAGAGTGTTGGTGCTAGCTTTAAAGGGTTGTTCTGCTCAATGTCGTTTAAATCAGCAAAAGACTTAAATGATGCCATGGAAATAGGTGGATTTAGGTCATTGCTGTTGGGATCAGGGTAATACATGCACTTTTCACTGTTTCTCTGGTTTATCCAGTTGTTTCTTATCGACTTCAGAAGGTGCACAGGGTCTAAAATAAAGAACAGTGGACGAGAGGAATCAGCTGGATGTTGGTAAACAATACTGGTTTTAGGGGGGCTAGCGAAAAATGCCATGGCTTTTCTGTTTACATCATTGTTGTCAGAAACACTTGATAGTATCTTGAATTCGAGCGATACAAGGTCAACGTTGAGCGTGAGCAAAAATTTATGCAATGCTTTTGCATCGATCTGTGCGACTGGTAAAATGAAACCACATCCTTGTTGCTCAACAAAAGGCTTTGCCACATGAACAAATATGCAGTTTTGGCAGGAATAGAGTTAACTGCTGCGGCACCTTTAACAAAGCTTGCCTTGTATTCAAAGTAGGTTTGAAGATAATCTCATTCATCAGTAATGTCACAATGCGTTCATGCTTGGCCATTGCTTGCAATACAGTTTTAGCATAATGCAAAAAACAAAAATCTTGCTGCTCAAAAGCTGGATTCAAGTAGTATGACGAGCATAAGCGTCGAATGGTGTCTGAGTGTGGCAGCTTAACTTTATGAGAACTTCTGATAAATCTGTACGCATGTGGAGAAATGGTTTAAAGCAGACCTTGGAGCACAAGCACATCTGGAGGATATTGCGGCACATTTTTCAATACCAGCTCGACTTGGCTTCTCACAAAGTCGAGTACCTGTAGGTTGCATGCATGGCGTTCTTGGAGCTCATATTACTTGCTCATTTCATCCAGGAGCATCAGCACTGTTGAAAGTACCTGGTGTTCCTTTTCCTTTTCACTGTCTGCACAAAAACTTTGCAGCTTTTCCACAGATTCCAGCACTCAGTCGAGCTCTCTTAAATCCTTCAATTCTGATGGCACACGCACATCCGCAAGATTGTGAAGGCGGGACCCTTCAAAGAACACCTGAACAGACAGCTCCTCTAACACACCCACTGACGAACCCACTTCTGGAGCATAGTTGAGGGAGAGGTCAAGAAACAAAACCCATGACTCTGTGGAGATCATAGTCCAGAAGTTTGAAAGTCTTTATTAGCCTTGGAAAGGCATGATGAAGTTGCTCGAAACTGCAAATTTTGTTCTGGGGATCTTTGTCTTCTTGCGCAACGGACAGCTCTATTGCTTTTCAAAGCGATGCTGCATCGAGTCGAGCTTTCTTTTCTGCTGGAGCTTACCGCGTTGGTGTTGGCTAAGGTATGTATTTCGGGCAACCAGAGAAAATACTGGGGACAGCAGTTTGCTTGAGGCGAACACGCTCCAGCAGCGCTTCAACTTTTTCAGTCTTTACGTCTGTGTACGTTGCAACCCTGGCGAAGTCATTCATCTGAAAATGTTTTTCACACACCTGAGAAACAAGTGAAACAGGGTCAGTTATGTTTACAGGACAGGCAAAAAAATGCGGCTAGCTATGGGAACGAGAACTTGGCAAGCGGTGCAATAATTGAAAATAAAGCTCTGCTCTCTCATGTAGGTTACAGAAAAATTGCAACAGTAGGCACGTAAGTTTAGCACAAGCTTTTTCAAAAGCGGAACGAAAAGCAATGCTTACCACTGTGTGCTTCGTCGGCTCGAAATTTTCACGAGGTATCCTTTTTCCACGCTGCCCTTTGTCCCTCGTCCGCAGAAAACTTGTACATGCGGACACACTCACTTCTCTGAACACCGCCGTAGTTCGACTTACAGTTAGAGGTGCAGCAACTGCCTGGCATTTCCGAAGCGAGGCTACATCCGGTCATTGATATAAACGAAGCCTTTGCGGATGGAACAGCTTCCTCAGGCACAGGTCACCGGTTAAAATGCGCCCACAATCATGCCAGTCCAGCGAGTCACGAGCGCGCCATGTGCTCACTGTGTTGTTACTGCCAACGCCTCCTCTATTCAGATGCCTGCCATGTGAGAACGAAAACTGCTGCTGCATTCTTTCCCTCCTTCATTTTAAATTAGTGTCAGTCTTCAGCGCCACTGGTGGCAGACGGTGCAACAACTCGACATTTTGCATTGCCTCCGAAATAGTCATGTATAGTTGCAAATCTCGAATAACTCTAGACTGATGCGCCCCTAGGGGCCACAAGTAAAAAACGCCGTGATAATAGTGCCGGCCGCGAGCGCCACTGCGCGGCACTTGCTTGAAACTGAAGGCAGGGTGACTCCGCTGGCAACACGAGCCATTCGTCAGGCATCTTAATGAAGGAGGCATTGTTACTGCTAGTCTTCACAGGTGATAGCCAAAGCCATGAGAGGACAGCCAAGTAATAGCAATAGCAAAGTCAAAGATGCCGTCGTAGCCGGCAACACCACCTATGAACATGAACTGCTACGAAGTTATGTTTAGTCAGCCTACCCTTAGGTGGCTCTACATCAATCCGCTTGTGTCGGGAGTGCACCTTGATCCGCTAGCAGTGACGTAGTTGCTGGAGAGGAGAACATTACGGTGGCTATAGCTTATCTAGGTGGTATTAGTACATTACCGTTCTAAAACGCTTTATTACACACGTTAATGTGATTCCGTACCTGACACGAAGCCTGTATAGAGTGACTTTGCTAAGGAGTTTTGAGCACTTTTGGATACCTCATGGCAGAGAAGTCATCAAGTAAGTTAAAGGTGAATGGAACATCTGTGCGAAATACGGAACCAAAGCAGCGAGCGCCCCTGCGACGCCGTTACTTAGAGAAAGAGTGTGTCACTCCGATCCTTTTCAGATTATGGGAATAGATTTTGCCGGTTCATTGTACGTGGAAATGGACGATTCGTCTTCAAAGAGTGCTGGGCTCCCACTCAAAGAGTTTTGGTCAGATGTTTTTCCTGTGCTCGGTATTTCTTATTTAGTTAGTTTGTGTCTTATTTCGCATGGTAGAGCTTACAGACACCTGTGGTGGCGGGCAACTACAGCACCAGAATTGGCCCTTGTTGGAATTTCATAACAGTGTTTGCTGTAAAAGATCCTATACACTGGCATCATGCCGTGCTAGGAATAACATTAACATGTGATGAATCGTGGTAGAAGGGTATGATAACAACCAGGTGTCGCACAAAGTGAATTTTGTGACGAGTGGGTTGTTCAAAGCTTCCATCCCATTACAAAAGGCTGAGTCATCAATTCTTCATCAGCCACAGCATCAACAATGTGCTCTTAATGCCCAACAGTTGCGTAGCGGGTACCTCGCCTTTATGCACAATGATCGATAACGAATAATGGCACAGTGGTTGTTTCCCTACTTGACAAAAATTACGATGACTTATGGCATAGTGAATCATTTGCAATTGAAATTGCTTTAAGGGAGCGTACAACGGGCTCTGAAAAAGCAGAATTGCCTGCTTTTGCTACGACCGTGCTGCATGTTCCACGCAGGCCTGGCATTTTTTATTGGTCAGGCATTGTGTGGTTCTGGCGGTGTTGACAGACGCGAGCAAATATGCTTTAGCGGCCTGTGAAGCCGCTCCTTGTCAAATCGAGCAATGGGTAGAGCAGGTACACTCAAGCGTCTTGTGCTCGTGGTTTCCATCGTGCAAACAACTTAGCATCGTTGCAGGGCAAAAAAAGAGTGAAGTGAACATTCTTATAATGACGAAACTACGAAACTGCTGAATAATTGTTCCTGTAACACAGCACTTTGTTGAAGAGGCTAAATACCTTGTCTTGATTTTAAGATTCATTGGGAGGCCAGTCATCCCTCGAGACAATGTTGGCACTACTACAGACCTCAGCAGCTCAGGCAGAGGAAGAGTCTGAGGTGAGACACTCACTTGTTCTTTGTTACTGATAGTTCCCTTTTTTAACAAATTATTTCTAGGTGTTACTGTGGATTATAGTAATTACTGTCAGTGTAGGCCTCCAGATATACTTGGTGTAGGCCTCCAGATATACCACTGTGAAGTGTGTGTGCCACAAAGGGAAGCTTAGTGCAATGAGTAAAGGGGCATAGATATCATAAGGTAATTTATCTGTTTCCTTAGAATTGCACTTGAGCCATTATATCAAATCTCTACTCACGGTTTGCTGTCATATAGTTCACTTGCTGCTCAGCCCATTGCAGCTGTCTTTGCCGAAGCTTTGCTTCACAGTACAGGGACCTTTGAGGCATAAATAGTGACTGTGACATGTACGGTGTGTGAAAACATCCTGTATATTTCAACACCACATGGGCATGCTAGAAGCCGTAGTCTGAGTTATAACTAATCCTACTGAGCCAGTGCCCGTTTGCTACTTACCTCACATGGCAGGATAACGGTGTCGAAGAAGCAGCGGGACATCACAAGTTGCATCCATTGCTTCAGTCATCTCGATACTCCCCCATTTGCTTCGAGTCTTTTGTGATGGCATTCGTAAGCCGTGTCAAGCTGGCTACTAGCCTAAAAACATCCTTTGACGTCTTTCACGACTTTGCAGAAGGTAGCCTCAAGCTTCCTAGACGGCGAGCGGACGGTGGAGTCGTTCCTGGAAGAGTTTGTGGAAGCGCGCAAGCTGGCACACAACCGTCGCATCAAGGCGGAGAAAATGACCGAGCTATTGACGCGCCGCCTTCCAAGGCCCATGGGAGGCAGCGTGCCAAGCCGGCCCGCGCCACCTGCACCTGCTTATCCTCTTCCACCCACGGGTCCCATGCCTCCCTACCCCACAACACACTATCCTATGCCCATGCCGTTCATGTGAGCCATGTCGAGTCATTCTTTTGGGGTAAATTTTGAGTTTCCCTGCGAGAAAGTGTGGTCGCAATTTTTGGCATGTTGCTTTGTGAAGACACTGTCTTTAGTGGTTTCTGGCATTGTTGGTTTTGCTAACGATGTGATATTTCTTGGACGATTTCTTCACTGTTAGTCGGTCGTGATTCTAGGGGTGTGCAAACTGTAATATAAACCAAATTGAATAACACTGAAGGAAATCAGAATTCATATCGAATACTACTGCTGAAGTAATAGTGTTTCAACAGTGAACAGCTGTTTCTACAGTGAATATGAAATGACATGACATGTGGTAGTGTAGACGCATCCCGCAGGAGTATGGCCACTAGCGTGGGTTCGGTCTTAGTGAGCAACTGGGCCGCTTTCACCGTCACCTTGCATGGCTAACGCTGCCGCACACATGCGTTCAGACAGCCAAGGTGCTGAGGGCAGTGCGGCAAGTACGTAGTACTGCTCTCAAACAAGTCACAACACATTGCTGCCTGCGGCAACACCAAGAACGCAGTACAGCGCCAGCTGCAAAAGGCGACGGGAAAGCCTAACGTGGCTAATCTACGCCACGGGCGAAAGTACAACACAAAGCGTGCCGCGAGCACGTCTCCATGGGCAAAAGGGTTCACGGTGACACGCTCCTGAGGGAAACAGGCCTTTTGACTGACTGCTGCATGCTCTCACGGTCTGTGACCACAAGGACCGCTTGCTCAAGCGAGGACAAACTTCGCTCGCATTGGCTTGATGAGGTACGAGTCGGTGTAGTTCGACCACACGCGAACACACCGCACCACTCTTCGGCCTAGCGTTCGGAAGAGGCAAAAAAAGATAAGCGTCTGCTGCAGGTGCATGGCATCTTTGGGGAGTCCGATCGAGCACCAAACAATGGGAGCCGACAAATGGGAAAGAAATGTGTGCTCGCTCTTCATTGACCAGAGAGGTCTCGACTGACTCATGACGCGTGCGTGTGAGACGTTCCGGAAGACTCCAGCGCAGCACCAAAGTCGACTACCGCTACCTGGTGAGAGGGGTTAACATCACTCCCGCTCTCCCAGCGCTGACCGACCGTCGAGAAAGGGAGTCACATTAGGACATCAGAACGGCATAAATAGGTGATAAAGCCGGCGCAAAGTAGGTGGGCTAGCCTCAATTCCCACAACGTTTGGTATTCACAGTCAACATGTGTCTCACAATGTTACACAACATGATGCATTTTTTAGCGAAATGATGATTAGGCTCTTTGTTTGTACTATTGAAAAAGACTTATGTGTTTGATCATGCTATGTAAGCTTTTTAAATTATTTGTAAACTATGTGGAAAATGTTTGTTTTTATGCATAGTTACTATTTTTAACTGAAAGCTACGAAATTTACACACCTCTGGTCATGACATTTCTTGCGCTTTACGTTCATGCTTTAGAATGTAATGTGTAGTGAAAAATTTTGTTCGTTTATGCACTGTACCTGTAATAAGGTTGTGTTTACATCTGAAAACAGTGCGGGCACCTTGTTTAAGGGCCCTTGACCAGGTTTCATTGTAAATTTTGGTTTCCCTCTCGAAGTGTTAAGGCACTGTCTGGGAAACATTTTACTAGACAAATTTTTGCAAACCACTTCATTACTGAAGAAGCTAAAACAAATTGAACTGCACTATGCCTCAGCTGCGGAGCAATAGTATTTAGGAAATTAGCTCCTCTCAGTGCAGGTTCACGCGGTCGACCAGATAACGTCACAAAAACAGGAATGGTGGTACCTTGTGGTGGTGATACGGCCAGGAAACATGTCCAAAAAAGAAACTGTTTGTGTGCTCTCGCCAACGATTTTTTTTTTTTTTTCAGCAGATACTAGCAATCAATCTCTGGGCACTTAAATTTTTTTTTTTTTGCTTTTGCTGTATGCGTCATTTTTTAGAAGGCCATAATAGCGTGGCTACGCAGGGTGTGCCCTTCTGTATTTGCCAGCCCAAGAACAAGTGCAGGCGTTTCGTAGAAGACTGGAAACATGGGTTCAAGTCTTGTAGGCACTACGTCAGAATCACCAAGGGGCTGTCACTGTTCCTGGGAGCTTGGTCACATACTAAATGAAACTGGAGGCATTTTTTCATTTGGCGGATGTCAGTAGTGCTTACACCCAGTCGATCAGTATCACAGTGTGGTTGTACAACAGTGTAGAGTAGTGCACAAACACTAGTGACAGATCATTCATATTGTCGTATGGTCCAGCAAAACAAACAAATTGTGTTCTAGGACTGTGTGAATAGCAAAATTTCAGGTGTGGAGTGAATTTGAATATTGTACATACGTTCTTAGAAGTGCAATTGCAGAAAAAAAAAAGCTGGAGAGGATTCCTAAGCATGTTCTTATGAGATAGCAATATTGAAGTGTTTCTTTTGGCTAAGATGATGAAGCGCTGACGAATGATGTCTTATCAAGAATGAGGCAATGCAGAGGCTGAAGTGTACTTATATGTACATGGTTTGGTCCAACCAAAGTGTTGCCGAAAACACTTGGCACGTGAATTGCAAAGATCTTATTTCCTCATCCTCTCCTCCTTTTTCATCTTTTGAGGAAGCCCAGCTGATGTGGTAGACAAGCTTGTGCTCCCTTTGAGTCTTGAATTCCAGATGTAGCTCATAGAGAATATATAAGAACATCCGACGTTTTGGACGCTAAAAATCTTCCGTGTCTGATATTTCGAACTTTGTGCCATACTCCAGGTCCAAAACAGCATTAATTTTGCACCTGTCTATCTACCACATATGTCAGCTCCTTGTTTGAGCCAACCTTAAGAATCTTGAGTCAATACATTTGCTATTTTAGCAGAGCCTGAAAGGCAGCTTTGTGGCATTATGACAGTGAGAGGGGGTGAAGCAGAATGAAAATCTGAATGGACTACTGTCAATTTGCCATTGACTGTATTTGTCTTCAGAAAGTTCAAATAGTAAAATTCTAGTGCGAATCATACTGAACAGCAAACCCTATTTGAAAAATATTCGAAATGTCAAATATTCGCACGCTCTTAGTGTTTTTCTTTTTTTTTCTACTGTACTTGCATAGGCAAAGCATAGCGGCAGTCACTATTCCGGCAAAACCTGTGCTAAAGGGGGCATAAGGGCTGTCAGTAGATCTTGTCAGACACACGTCTTTGGGACAAGAAACGCATGCGGATGAATGCTCCCTATGGCTATGCTTTGTGTCCCCCTCCGTCATACGAGGGCAACACGCATAACCATTTAGTTGCCTTGGCAACTCGTAGGGTGGAAATTTTTTTTGTTGGCTGTCCCACCAGATAACACTATAGTCGGTCACAACATCGGGAAAAAAAGTCTCAGCTCTGCTTACTGAGGTTTCTGTTTGTCGCCCGGAGAACTTGTCTCCCAGAGAACTCCAATAGCGCTTACTCTCTTTGGGGACGTAAGGCATCTCTGGAGTGTTTCAGACCGTGTGGCTTTCCCATTCACGCACACTTACGTTCATAGGCGTGGGTAGAATTCCCCTTCAGGGGGAGGGGGCGAGGAAGGTTCATCACAGCATCCCTTGCCTATTATGTCAACGTGTGGGGCTGACTGTGCCCCTCCCTGAGCGGCGGCGCTCCCCCCTCTCTATTATTTCAATGTATAGCGCTTACTTTGCCCCCCCCCCCTCCCCCCAGCTGTCTAAAGCGTGCGGTCGCCCCTCTAGCATGGCTATTTCACAAGGGCTGGGCAGGGGCCTCGCAGTTCTATGGGCTGAGCTTGCATTATAAGTGTGTAGCACTTAAGAAACCCAGCTTGTTGTCCATCTATAGATATTACGTGGCACGATTGTGCGCATCATCAAGTGGCTGACACAGGCCTAAAACAATGCTGGCAATTTTCAAATGTGCATTCATGTAAATGAATGCGGTTTGAAATAATATAGATAACAGGAACAACCAAGAAGTAATCGCAGCAATTAACTTAAAATCAAAATAACGAGAGACATTTCAGACATGCGCTGCAGGTTTCGGTGCTGCTCAAAAGAGGCCATCGCTAAGCGAGTGATTGCTCTTCTTACTGGTTCTTCCACGTCGCTACGTCTGAATAGGGGAAAGAACCTGATGAAACTCCCTGTAGGTGACACATATCTTGGTTGCCGTAACATGCAGGAAGTCAATAAAGTACAGCAAAAAGTACCACACCTGTCTCAAACCCTACAAGCTTACCTCTAACATTGTTGTCATCAACTAATTGGTAAACAGAGCATTGGGAATTCTACAGGCGGCAATGGACGGTAACGGAGTGCCCGTGCTACACGATTCCTCGAGTTGCACAGTTTCGGAGCTGTATTTAGTGCAGGAATTACAACTACACCTATCGCTTTACAAAAATGACATTAGAGCTAGATTTTTTTTCAAAGCCATAAACTAGTATAGCGTGATGGAACAGTGCATCATTATGTGGCAGCCTCAGACATCGAAGTTCCAGCTTCTAAACGTTTCTTATTCGGTAGTCTCGGCCAGTGTTCCCCAAGTTTCACACTTCACTTGAATCCTTCCATGTGCCAGAGCTGAGGGAACGGGACATGCTCCGCGTTAAGCCTTCCTTCATTAATATTTTCTCTTTCTGCTGTATTGCTTTGTAGCATGTTTTCAGAGGCAGCATTGCACGTTTATCATTGGCTGACAAACCAGAGTTGCTTGCCATACACAGTGATGTCTCAAGCAATGTTTGTGCACGTGACTTCAATTCTCGTTCGTTTAAAGCATAGCTTTCTCGAGGAGTGGGCACACACTTTTTTGTTTAAAATTTCAGCTGCTGCATGGAGCCACCTCATTCCTAGCTGAAAAAATTGCATGGCCGCCACCTAGGGGAAGGATATAATTCTTCCACACCTTGCCGTTCTTTTTTTTTTATGTAACATTATTTCCTGCTCCTGAGCTACAGTACTGCACTTCTTCATTCGGAACGTTCTAATCTGGTTAGGGACTGTTTATGGGAAGCTGTCATGAAGTAAACAACTTACGAACCAGTTGAGTGTTTCCTGTATAAATTAAATAAAAAGCTGTTATACGGCGGACACCCCTCTCCAGTTGGCAAGAAGGCTTATTGGGGAATATGTAAGCTAGCGTGGACCCCAGAAAGGGAACGGTTTTTTATCTCAGGCATGTGGTGATGTAAACGACCCTAGAAACGAGAGTTTTCTTTTACAGAGGTTCTCTATGCCTGTATGTAGTGGTGTGTGTGTGTGTGTGTAATCGCCTGCCTATTTTCCACAGTTATGATCTGTTACCTCCTTTTTTTCGCACTTTCTTCACTATTCCTTGCAAAGCTGAAATGAAAGTGTCAGTGTGTGTGCGAGCTTTAGCACTTTTGTTGCTTTTATCTCACCGCTTTTGAAGAATCGTCAGAAGTTCAGGCTGCTGCTTTTATTATTATTAAAACTGAATTTGCATAAGCAAGTGTAGTTAGTTTACTGTGTGCATATAAACGTCGTTCATACGGTCGAGTTTTCCTAACTGAAATAAAACTGTGCAGTTCTTCGTGCTTTGACACAACTGGCATTACTCCTGTGAACTGAACAGCGGAACTCTGTCTTCGTCAAAACCTTTTGTGTTGAATCTACTTCACTTTTATGTCCACCTTTTGTTTTCTTCATGCGTTTCACTTTTGTGTTTTCATTCAGTGCGCGGTTTGCTTGTCTTGCTACATGCACTTTACTTGTGTGTTTGTATATATGGAGGGACATCACTCGAAACATTATGGTTTCTTCATCGTACTTTCGTCTTGAGTTCCTCTAGTTCCTTATTGTCTACCTTGGAGTCCATAAGCACTTGTCGCACGCGACAAGTGCTTGTTACGTTGTGTACTATGCATGTGGCTTCTAGGATTGTGCAGTTTATAGATTCTATGCAGTGAAAGAAGGCTGTCACCGCGGACGTGTGCTGACCGTTTCAGGCATGAGCGAGGACTTTGGATGTTAGTCTTGAAATGATTTGTTTACAAGGTCGTTGTTGTGTGATCTGATGCCATAATTTGTTTATTTAATCTCAATGGGGTATGTGCTTGTATGCCAACTTTGTGCCCTAACCAGACTTGCCAACTTTGCGTTCGGCATGGCCACTTTAGCTCTAGCTACTCCTTGAATCGAGTTGACTGATAGTGTGTACGTCATAACACTTAGAAAGGAAGGATGAGTGACATTAATGCCTCATTTGAGCTCTTAGCTTGTGGCACAAAGGCATTAGGCAACTTTTGTCAGCACCTTGGAGAAATTATGTTGCGTAATGGTGCTGCGTGCATATCTGCGTACTTCGATCATCTTAGATTAAAAGATCTGCCTACTGGCTAGCCAGCGGGTGTACTTTGAGAGGCTGTTTTGTAAACTGTGTGGCGGAGAATACAGTAAGATATCAATGTCTTGTGCTTGGGAGGCCACATGGATAAATTTTTTACTCAGAGCATATCGCATTTGGTTGCTGCTTGTGTAGAATGTAGATGCAAACCTCAGCACTGAATGCGTAAAATAAGTAATTTTATGCATGGGCCAACCATAGTCAGGATTTTCGATTAGCCAGGTGTTCAAAAGAATGCAAAGATAGTACAAAAGGTTGCAAAAAGGTTGGGCTGAAATGCACGCAATGTGAATGAAAGCGAGTTATATTGTGAAATTTTATTGTTCAGTGTATATTTTTTGTGATTTTTAACATGTAACTGCCCTCTCCAGCGTTCGCAATAGTAGCAACACAACTTCCGTGGTCTTGCTCTCATCTTACTGAACGATGCCAAATTGAGTTTTCTTGTCTTTTTCATGCATGCCAAAAGAGAAGTTGTTCGACAATTGATGCATCTTCTCGGGTGCGCACCACTAAATGGTTGCTGCGATTGTTTCTTCTCTGACTAACTGTTGAATGATGCAAATAAAGTACTACTATGGTTGGTGCACAAATGTGTTCATTACTACTATACTAGTAATGATGAATGTTTATATTGTCAAATACATACTTAAATATATGTATTTGGCAAGGAGCTTGAGGGATAGTCTATTTACTCAGTCAAAAGTCAAGAGTGGTGCGACTTTTTGCCATCAGGGGGCCCCATGCAGCCACTGGCATCGCTGTGTCAACGTGATATTGCGGCCACTTGGTGACACGCTTCGCCGCTGTTTGTGATTATTTTCGCGAGCGTGGCTCAAAGGCGGTCGACCATGTGCCATTAGGCTTCTATCGTGTTTCGGGTGAGAGGCGATTGCTCTATAGGCTTTTGTTTGTATCCCACTGCACTTGTTCTTGTATTTCACGCTTATTATTCTTCCATTGAGAAATTTTTTGTCGGGCATACAGGCAATGGTACTGGCATTGTGTACATACATTTTAATCTCATTTCCTTAATTTCAGTCTTCTATTGGTCACACTCGAAAGGAAACAACAATGGAACTCACAAACTTTGTTTCTTGAAGCTTGTAAACAGGCCTTATAGCACACTTATACTATGCTTGAACCACTAATGGAAAAGGGCATGTTGGCTGTCTACTTTGTACTCATTTTAACTTACTATCAAAATCTTGATCTTGGTGTTGTGGAGGTATGTGCAAAATGAGTTAGCATCTATTTTTAAATTTAATGTGTATATTGTACTCTTACTGGTAAATACAATTTTGAATTATATATATTTTACTGTTACTAATAGATACATTATCATGACATTTGCCAAATTGATAACCAGTTGTATATATGCTAGAGTACATACATATGAGAAAAGTGCAACAAAATGGAAAGCTGGGCAAGTCGCATATGCATGGTATCATTGTAGTTTAAGCGCACGAGGAAACACAAAAGGAACACAGGACAAGTGCTTTCTCGCACAGCGCAGCACAACTAAATATCCAAGAGGCTTGGCAGGAAGCCCTCAAGAGCTCGAATACAAGCAGCAACTACAGGCGGTCCATAGGGCCTGGGACATCGCTACAAGCCTTCGGCTGCCAGAGCCATCCTGTGCGGAGCCTCTAGATTGAATTAAGGGTTTGAATGGCCCCTTCTCAGCCTCCTCAGGATATGTTTAAATACAGTCAATCTCACTCACTTACTCGCAACCAAAAGATTTATTAGAAAGAGAGGAATATATAATCAGACAACCAATATTGACATACGCGTGTGAAGGCAAAAAGTACAACTGTGACAACTCAAGAACAGTCAGTAAAAAAACAGATTAATCAGAAACATAATCTAGAAAAGCAAACTCCTTATTGTGCAGCATCACCGAAGCTTGGCTGATGTACTGTTCTGCTCTTTTTTTATGTGAAAAGCTTCTGTAAACTCACGAGTTAATTGATTTGTTAGAATGAAAAAGAACTTCAGTATCCTGAGAAACAGGATAGCAGTCGCACTCTCTGCAATGAACCGCTAGATGCAGTGCCCCTGAGGATTTCAAAGATAAATCGTGCTCTCTAAGGTGCACATTGATGCACTGTTCCAACCATTTTATGTACACCTTACCATAGCTAAAAGGAATCATGTAAACCATGCCCATTGCACTGTCCATAAACCTTTTGCTGTGTTTTATACGACATTGTGGAAACTCTCTGCGCATGCGCAAACAAATAGACCAGAGTTTTTTTTTTTTGCTGAGAAAAGCACATCTACTTTGTATCCATTACTGAGTTGCTTAAGCTCACGCAATGTCCTATGAAGATAAGGAATTACTGCTGTCCTCCTATTTTTTCTACTTTCACCACGACAGCCTGAGTGGGTATCATTGAATTCGTTTCTTAATCATGCTGTTACACACGGACGTGATGACATTATTAGGGTACCCTGATTGTTTTAGTTTACCTACTTGACAAAACTCATTTTCATTCGGTGTTGGCCGGATATTTTCAGAGCGATACCCAAACTCGTGTTAACGATACTTCTTTTTACCAGCTCAAAATGGCTCGACCTGTAATTAAGCATAGGCTTTACGGATCTAGGAAAATTATACCAGCAAATATTTTGGGGTTCCAAGACCAAGTTAATACATATCTAGAAATTGCAGTTGCTTTAGACGCGGCAATTCAAAAGAAAAGATTAGTTTCTTGCTTGTTTCTTTTTCTTTTAAAACCTTCGAAATATGCACATCTTGTGTCAAATCTAAAGACGTAGTGAACACATAAAAATGTCGACGTATCTGGAGTATACGAACTGAGAGTCTTGTCAGATGCGTTTGAATTGCTACATCAAGCTTGTCCAGAAAAATTTTGTTAAAATCTGAGCTACTGAAGAGCCTGTGCATATTCCCGATCTCTGGACGTGAAGATTACCTCCCCAAGCCACTAAGGTTGACTTAAAGTGAAAGCTAAGTAATTCTAGAAAACTAGAAACAGAAGTTCTATACTTCAGGCAGAGAGTTCATCATTATCCTGCAAGACGCATCTTTGAACGCTTGCCATCAGCTCTCTTGAGGTTTCGAGTACTACAAATCTTCAATGTCTATACTAAAAGCAGTACGGCAGCTAGAGCTATCAGTGCTCAGAAAATGAACCCCCAGCTCGGAGTTACCCACACGAAAGGAACCCGGGATAGGAAGACTCTCCGAATTGTTTTGCAGGTATCTAGAAACGACGTTTTGCCACGTGTCTTTTTCACACATAATCGCTCTGAAAGTTATATCTGGCTTGTGTGTCTTAACCTGAAAAAAAATGTTCAGATCGCATAGCAGATTTGACCGTAGAAGCTAACTGCTCAAAATTCTTGTCCAAAAGCAAGGAACCGGCACTTTTCTACAACATGAATAATAAAAGTGCGGTCTCCCATTGCAAAATAAAAGGCATGTGTTTTGTTTTCTTGCTTAGGAAGTGGTTTCCATTTGAAAAGATGTATTGACTACATACGCAGTCAATTCGAGGCAACCTGCTCTTTTCTGATGCTCTTTGCAGTCGTAGCAGTTTTATGTAGTATTGGAGACATTTATTTGTCTGGATTGTGTATATTTGGTCAACACACAACGAAGAGGGAAAATGAATGAAACAATTCTATGTAGACCTGCAAGGTGTTTCTTTTACAGCACATGTTGGGGTGGCTCATGAGTGGTTGTTCAGGAGTGGCGGTTAGTCATGAAGGAAGGAAAGAGTTAGGAGAGTGCAGCACAATGTGGTTGATGGCTGAAAAAGAAAAGTCGAAGCTTAGCTGCAATGGCGAAGCAGTGAATGTGATAGCAACAGATTAGAATGTTATAAGAAGTGAGGCTAGAGCTAACTCTTTTAGCGTCTGACCTGACATAATTCCACAAAATGTTGGCATAGGGCAATGTAGGCGCTACAGTGTGTGAAGCGACCGTTCTGATTTTTTCGCTTCAATGCAAAGAATGTGGTGAGAACACGGAATGTGCAAAGATGTGCATTGTCCAATTATCTCTGTTAAGACAGGGCGGGCGTGACCGTGTATTGCTGGTCTAAGTACGCAGTTTCTGCTGAAGCTTTGCCGCCCCCACTTGCCCCGAGGTTCTTCTGCTCGAAGCAAGAAAGCTAGCACATCTTTCTGTTGAGGTGCATTTGTTGCGGTCGTCTGCTGCCCTCACATGATCATGAGTGGTTCGGCAAAAACTAGACTTCGTCTCGTTGTTACCGAACAACTTGTCATCATTTAACATGGTATATATGACTGTCGGGGTCCGCCATTTGACAGACCAATCACTCGCCCTTCCTTCTTGGTCGAGTCCGATGCTAATCTCGCAATGGGTGCAAACATGAAAATGAAGCAAGAATGTGCTTCTTCACAATGTCCACTCTTTGGTCACTGGCCTTCCGATAGTAAAGGTGGTAAGTAAAATGTTATTGGAATGCAACATTCAGGGTTCTTGGCTTCCATTATCATAAAGAAGGTGCATACCTATAAGGCTGCACGTTAAGAGGAAATAGGTCCTGACAGAGTATAGGTATGTACAGACTGTATCCCACAATGCTTCCTTTTGTGATCTTGTCTATGGTTAAGCTTTTGGATTCTACATGGAACCTCATGGCAACAGAAGTTCACCTGGAGTGTCCATATGAAACTGATAAATGAAGTAGTCAGCCCGACAGTGTTAACACAGTCTGAGCGAGCTTGCAGTGCAGCCGAACAAGCATTCTTGGCTGATACGCTCCCTCGGAAGTCGCATGTTTAGCTGACAGCAGTTGCCTAAACTGGAGGTATTGGCTTCGTAATGGATGCTGATGGTGGCTACATGCACGTAATATGACCAATTATTTCACTTGCCATGAAAATTTTTTGCTGGTATTGTTGGTTGACGCTGTCTAGCTCTTGCAGCCTAAGGAAGAATGTCAGTTCCTCGCACAGCCGTCGCTGATCCTCCCCAGAGAACTTGCACAAGTGCTCCAAAAGCGCTTGCTTATTCTCGTGACGTCAAAGACACATAAGTAGAGTTGCTAGTACTGCTTATATAAGTGTCGCTTGTAGAACTTTCTAGTTTATTGTCACATCTTTTGGACTTATTTGCATTTTCTTAGCAAATACAATTATTTCAGCTTGAGTGCTGAAGTTGAACGTGTTTCAAGGAAATCGACCAGGAACGTTAATCATGAACTGTCAAACATGCATTCAACCGAAGGGAGACAACTTTTGAAATAATGTTAAAAATTAAGCAGAAGCATTGTTCCAGGATCTTCCTGTCCCTGTCTATTTTAAAAATTAAACTGCTTCTTTCACTTATAGTTGTGCATATTTTTGCTGTACAACATAACTAAAGTGACTTTTTTCAGCTTCCCTTTGTATACCAGCACAATTGCAATTAAAGTAACTTCGACAATATAAAAATAATTTGAAATTTTTTTGTTAGCTTTGTAGCATCTGGCAATTAAAATCTTCGGTTGAAACTACTCGGCGTAAACGGACTCCTGAAAGAAGTTAAAACACCGACTAACCTGTATGAATTTTTTAAGTACGAATCTCAACCATATCGCTCGTCAGTTTTTAT